GTCCAGGCGGTTCTCACAAGGAATTGCAGCAAAACTAATTAGTTCGAACGCGAGCTGACCTTTTTTGCAACACACCGCGCAGTGCCGTTGATTGGAGTACATCCAGTCGGGAGAAAAGTGGAGTGCGAGAGAAGGAAATGAGCGATTGTCCGAAATGGGAATCAGTGTGCATTTGTTTCTTCTCTGAAGCCAACTGGCCTCCGGAGTTTCGCAAACATTTTCAAAGTTTTTATTCTTTCGCACAAAAAAGACTTGGCGGAAATGATAAAAGAAGAATGAAATGTACGATTTGGGGAGGAGCTTGATGGCAGATGGAAGATGTGACTGGCACTATACCAAGCAATTTTTGTACTTTTCAAAGTTCTTGTGACCGCCGAGAAGTGACTTCTAAGCGTGCTGGGTTTGTGCATCTGGCGAACAAACCTCGATGCGGACCAAATTGATGCACTTCAGAAGGCTCTTGAAAAGCCTCAAAAACTATTTTAAAACATCACTGGAAACACCCTCCCGGGGTGAGTAAACGCAAAAACTTCTTGCCTATCACTTTTTCCGTGGGAAACAGTAACAGTAAACAAAGAAAGAAAGAAAAAGCGCAACTTGCCTTTTGTCCTGTCGAAAAAAGAGGAAGAAACCCCTTTGACAGGCAGGGAAAGGACAAAAAACGAAAGAGAGCAGAGCTATGGGGAACGGGATATTCAATCGCGAGGTCGATCGCCCCTATTTGGGTCTATGTTTGATCAGCGGATTACGGACGGCTCTAATTACCCTTTGATCGGCCGGGAGCACGGAAATTGTGATGCGCTTTGGTGATAACTGTTGGCGCAAAGAGAGGAGAGCAGAAGGCGGAGCACCAGCTTCTGCAGACCCTTTTAATTTCCTGAGTGCGCGACTGCTACAGTAGCACACCAGTTTTTACCTATAAAAAGACTCATTTCCCTTCTCCTTGTCTGAAGAAAAGAGCGGAAAGTTGGGGAAGGGGATGCAATCAACAAGATGAGATTGGGCGGCCTGGAGGGAACGTCAAATACTGCTTCTCCCAGTTCTCGCAAAATAATTAACAAGTTTGCCTTTCTGGACTGGACTGCGGTCCTCCGACTACTTTCCTCGCTTTTTTCCCTTTTGCTCGCTCTCTTTTCTCTCGATTGGTATACATAGTACGAGGAAAGAGGGTTGTAAGGCGGGCGTGAATCATGGATACGACCGAAAAAGGCCAGGGTTACCGTTCCCGACTAAAGAGCATGTCGCTTGAAACAAAAGAGCCGTCGACAGTGACGGCTGGGGCGAAAGAAGAAAGAAAAGAGGAAACACAACAAACGCGCAGTGCGTTGAGAGGAGATCGTTGGCAATACCTTTGTGTACATATTTGACACAGGTTTATGCGCAATGGGGCTTATACGTTTATCACTTTTCTTCCAAACTCAAGCAACGTCATTGTACTTTCAATCTGCCGTGCTGTCAACATATATGTGTTCCCACCAAGAAAAGAGAGCTGGCTGAATAGAAGCAAGCAATTGTCCAAGAAGTCGTTTTGAAGTTTCCTATTCAAACTCATTCAAACTTGACCTGGGTGTTTAGAAATGAGATTTTGAGATAAGTTGAGAAAAAACCAATTTCAAGGTCTTATGATTCAAGGATGTCTCTTCTCGCGCCTTAATACAAGAAAGAGAAAAAAGCGCAAGGTTGTTGCATCCATCGACCGAGAGGGATCGAGTGATAGATGATGAAACAGTGGTCTCACCCAGCGGGGTACCACCAAATGATTTAGGTGGTGCACTTAAAGACCAGCAGTCTCGCCGAGTCCCTGAAGCTATTCATCATCTTATTACACTTACTCGGCAGTCATCCAGCAGTCATCCCCTCGTCGCCGATCTATTCATTATTTTATAATGCTCAATTCATCAAGTTGTGCATAGAACACTGCGCGACTCTGTTTGACTGGGACTAAGGGAGTATATCTATGCAACCGGCAACTGTCGTTTGTTAATGATATCGGCGACAACTACGGAACATGTTGTTGTTCGAAGAAGTTGTCAGAGGGGGCTATTGTGGTCGAGCCGACAAACTTAATTGGGTGGAATTTCAGCTACAGTCATGGACCCACTTATGTGTGCAGAAACCATAAACATGAGCCGTATCGGCCGGGCAAGAGAGAAATTACGGTTAATTTGGAAAATCTCACACCTTGCCTTGAAACTGGACGACCGACGGACGGCGAGAAAAGGAAGAGCAAATCGTAGTTGTGTTGTTGGTTGTTCAGTTAGGAGATGGTAATCAAATTGACGCGAGAGAGGCTCTCGTCAACTAAGTGATGTGCTCAGCAGATATACTACGTTGTCGAACAAGTTGAACATTTTTTCACCTTTTTCCGTCTTTTTTCATTTTTCATTGAAAAAGTTTCACATGAACTTGAGTGGACACTGAAAAATATATAGAGACTAGGATAGTGGCTCGGTTTTCATTTGGAAATAGAACGTTTTTATCGAAAGGACAAGGCACAGAAAGTGGCGTGTCTCATATGGTTGGCGGGCAATAACATAGACTGGGAAGCGGACTATAAAAAAGAAGAAGAAGAAGAAAGACAGAAAAGTTAACAGAGAAGAAGACTCTTTCTCGTGTCTTCTTTTGCCTCCCGCGCAGCGCTGATGCTTCAATTTTCCGAGGGAGGTAATTCGATTTTCGGAGACGGCGTGGAAGATCAGCCACGCATTACGAATATTTTCGGAGGTCCGAGAAGAGGTACATAATGGAATTAGGAAACGGCGCCGCCACTCGTTTCATGATTCTTGTGTGCGCGACGTCATGAAACATCAGGAAATTCATAGAAGACGAATTCAAGGAGCGGAAATTAGAAAAGTTAGAAAAAAGAAAATGTGCACTTCAGGAAATTGAGTTTTCCAGGAGAATCTGAATCTCTAAAGTTTTGGAGAGGCGATGTGATGTGCCAAAATTGACGTGTTTTGTCTTTTAAGGAACACAGCTAAAACAAAAGAGTTACATTGAAATCGTACACGCTCATCTTCCAATTCATTTTTGCATTGCGAGTGATTCATGAGTGACGTCAATAGCCAACCGTTCTTTTTATAGTTATTCTAACGGCTGGGCACTTGACCAAACAAAGAATCTGGCATTGCTGGGAAGAATTGTCAGATATTAGCTACATTTTCGGCAAAAATTGTAGTTTCTACTACTCTCAAACGCGTTTTGTTTTCGTTTGAGAAATATAATCGTTCTCCAAAATAATCCAGAATAATTACATTTCACAACAACGAGTAAGTCTCTTTTTGTAACTCATAAACGCACACACAATGCGCGTGCGTCTTCTCTCAGAGAGGCCACGACAGCTGCCGACAGTAGGTATTTCTTTGCCCCTCGCGTGCGACACTTTCGGCCTGCTTAGTATAGTGGTTAGTACTCCACGTTGTGGCCGTGGCGACGCTGGTTCGATTCCAGCAGCAGGCATCGCTTTTTGCTTTTTTTTTCATTCGTTATTTGCACACATTGTTCAACGGGAGCACTTGAAAACAATGTTTTAATCATAAATTTCATCTCAAAATGAAAAAGGGAATAGAAATAGTATAAAATGGAAAGAAAGCTGTGAATGTTCGGGCGAAACAAACAAAAGATGCGAGCTTTGATGCATTTCAAAAGTATTTCGGAAAGATCGGAGGGAAAAGGAGCTCGGAAGGCGGAATCAGAGTCAAATGTATGAGGGAACCATCAAAAGAAGCATATGCGATGTGACAAGTGATACGTCCGCGCAAAATTGCCACGGAATTATTTTATGGCACTTGAGAAAAGAGGCTTTCGCGCCCGCCGAGAATAGTCGATGCTTGATATGTATTTCCAGAATTTCATGTGACACTTCGTCAAGGTGACATGTTTTGCTCAAAGTTTGATGGACATCTACGCACCAACGCGACTCGTTTTATCATATTCATGTCCACATTTGACATTGGCCCAAAAGAGAGGGGGAAAGGATGGCACTCTGTCTTTTTTCGAGAGAATTCTTCGACTAAACGGTGGGGAATTCTTTCTCCAATCAAACTGGTTGACATTTGTGAAACATTCCACAATTTGGACAAGCTCATGTGGCACCGCAGGCAGGCAGGAAAACGCAGGGGAATCGCGGCAACAAAACAGGATTTGTCGGACATCTCACGAATCTTGTGTTTCCGCGCAGACAAATGACGTTTTAATACTGGGAAAATAAACAGTGTCTGTTTTTGGGGGGTGGAATGAAGGGAAAAATGGATGGACTGACCGAGACTGTGAGCTCGGTCGGGAACATTGCATATGCAATTCGGTACCTCGCGGAATTCGCATTTTCCCACAGATGGCGATCTCTTTCAATGACCAGTCAATCTGATCAGTGAACTTTGGACTTATGGAAGTAGTCCGTTTTATCAGGACTTGATAATTTTCAAATTCGAGCTGGAAAAAGCTAATAATGGAAAATTATTGTTTACCTCTCCCGTTAGCTGAAGACAAGACATTCAGCTGACCACGGTTTCTCAAAAACAGAAAGTAATAATGTATTTGTTTACTTAAACCTTCTCTGACTGGCTGAAAATTGGAAAATAAAAATAAAACCGACAAAGTGCTCTAATGTGTGACTATTTCGATTAAAAAAAGGGGAAATGGCGTCCGTAGCTCGGCGTGTTTCATCCGTTTTCTCACATATCCTCGAGTGAAATCTGAGAAACATCAAATCCGCTGGTTCCCTTCTCAGTTTTTGCATTTGCAAGGTTTTCCCCAGTTTTAAACGCTCCGCTTATCTTTCTCATGTCATGTTTTATTTGAAGCACAAAAATGTGTATTGAAGATGAACATGTGTGATAAAATGAAGTATTTTCAGAACAAAACTTATAACATGAGGTTTTACTGACGGTCCGGGCAGGAGGATCGCAAAAAACAGGGGATGGGGAGAAATAAATAGAAAGTGTGGTACTTGTAGAGTGGTTCGATGAGGTGAAATGACAGAAAAACGAGAAAGAAGAGAATTACAGAAATCGGTTGAGAAGTTGAGTTATTTTAGTATCGAGAAGAGATTCAATGTTGTTAGTTGGGCAGTATTTAATTTCAGCAAGAAGGAGAAGAAGTTTTCCAAATCGAGAAGGTGAAGAATCAAGTTTGAGACAGCATTGCTGGAGGAGACAGATGCTCTGGTCCAGCTGTTCTTCGTACTCGTACTGTGAATCTTCGCTCGCTGAAAATAGAATTGTCGGTTTCTCCATCTCTGCTTGATGGCGTGGTATTCAATCTTTCCCCCTCCAGTTTTCGTGTAACCAATCCAAATGTTTGACCCATGGGGAAGAGAGTGTACATAAAATAAAAAGTATCAAATTCGGATGTGTATCCGGAGCCAAGCAAATAAGCGGGCGGATGAGCAACTCCTCCTAAATTACCTTTTCGCGCCGTAACCTTATGGAGCATCGAGACATTGGAAGCGCAGACGAGCCCCGGGGACACAGGCGGGTAAAGAGTTAATGGCATGCCGCTGTATCACATATCTGCCTTTGGTAGAAAGACCAGCGCGAGGAGAGGATAATACAATTGCCGAAACCCATCACGCTCCGGCAACGGCGGAGAGAGAAAGAGAAAGAGCGGGTGCTCCTCTCCGGGGGTATACGGTAATGATGCTTGCCCCGTTGCTCCCTTCGTCCTCCATTTCTCCCTTCTCAAACTTACGTTTCATGAAGATGGTGATCGCTTTCAAGCAATTGAATTCCGCTGGCGAAACGTCCAGACGTCGGAATTTGAGTATCAGGCAGCTGAGGTGCTCGTCGAAGCAATTCTCTTCGGCTTGCTCGCACATTGTGACACACAACAGACGTGGCCACTGGGTTAGAATAACTTGGCGCTGGAAGATACAATATAAGGAACCATGCTTCACAATAAGCATTCTATCTACCTTCTCAGATTCAGACAGAACACTGAACAGACGGAACTGTTGAGCCCACTTCAAAGCACTCTCCAAGTGCGACATTGCCGATTCTTGCAGGCTGTCTTTCTACAAAACTATCCCATAAATGTTTATCCGTGAACCGGTTACCTTCTCATCCTCAGTTTTTCCGTCACTAGCACTGGATGGTGAATCCTCTCTCTTCACCATGTTCGAATGTCCCATGATGGCCGAGACAGCGCCGGCGTACTCTCGGAAGAAGTGCTGCGGATCCATGTCCAGAGCCGGTCGGATCGTTGCAGTGTTTCGTGGCTGTCTTTCATTTTGAACTGCTGCAAGTGACTAGTTAGTGATTCCCCCTTTCCAGGTCACTGATCACCATCTTTGTTCATTCCCTTGTTCAAGCACTTTTTGAGACGGCATGCTTGGCACTGGTTGCGATGGGCCTTGTCCACAACACAGTGCCCGGTCCCCGCCTGACATCTGTAGATCAGCCTCCGACGAACAGACCGTTTGAAAAACCCGGAGCATCCGTTGCAAGCAAGTATACCTGAAACCTTCTGTGATATTTCTAATCCGCTGACTTTTTCCTATACCATAATGCTTGCCGCTGCTCACATCCCCACAAACGGCGCAACACAAGGTCGGCGAAGAGGCCGTTGGAGGACTTTCCGTCTTATTTGAGCCCACTGACGGAAAACTGTTCACACTAATCGTTGTATGGTCCAGAGGAGGAGTAACACTCGCGTTCATTCTCTGTTGGTTGAAAGACATTGCAAGCGCAGCTGCGATGTGCGGAGAAATCACGCCTAAAGCAATCAGTGAATGATTCGTTTTTTGCTTTTGATTAACAAATTCAGCGTGAATTATCGTGAAATGAAAATTTTTTAATGAAAATTATAATCTTCTTAGAAATGATCTGTCTACAAATCTCATTGACCTTGAGATACTAAATTTGTATTCTAGCACGACACGTACCTGCGTTGAACATTGGCGGTGGAAAGAGAAGCGGAGTGTTGAAGATAGAACGTACACCGACGAGGCTTTCTTTCGTATCTTCGTCTGAAAAATATTTATGAGCTTTCGGTGGGTCAGACTGTGCTTATTCTCGATCTGTCGGCTCAAAAACAGAAGACGGGAAATGTCATGTGCATTCTGATCCAACGATGCATAATTTCCTGTCAGTAGCACAATAATAAGTAACGTCGGCACACCAGAGATGAGATGATGAGAAGAAAAGTGTCAAGTGAGAAGGCAAAATTGGACAATATAGAGGAATTTCCGGAGCACACGTCAGAAAGTATAGGATTGGATGTGTAACTAGACGCCGCAAAAAGATTAAAATAGGAACTTTGTCTGTGTCTAGCTGCCAGCTGCTAGACAAAGCGGAAATTACGGAGAATGAGATCATTTACCTGCAGGCTTTGACGTCGAAAAGTTGAGCGGCTCATCTTCGTCGCTCATTTTGAGAAAGTTGACGAGTGCGGATGCCAGTTTGACTGTTGAACGACGCCGAAGATGGAAATGACTTCCAGTCTTGATTCGTGCCACTTCACGCTCCACCCACAAGGCTGATGTCTGTGAAGCGCTGACGCAGCAGCCCAGCACTCGCGCAGCCAATCGACGCGACCCACCAAGACACGCCCACTTGTTTTCACTTTTGCTGCGTTGAGATGGGGACCAGACTCCTTTTTAGGTCCTGTCTTCAATCCGATTACTGTCGGCAATTAAGGAGCTGGAAGGCAAGACAAACAAGGTTCACGAGCGTCGAAGTTGGGAAACGCGAAAATTGCAAACCGGAGTGAGAACCTTGAATACCCAAGGCAAAGAAGGCAAGAAATGGAACTAGTGCGTGTTTCAAAAGTGACCAGAAACAGGGAACGTTTAACTTTAGTGTAACTCCAGACGCCTGTATCAACAAAAATTTGCCCAAGTTTCTTTTCTCTTGCTAATGGACACAAAACGTTGGCGTTTCGCCTCTGCTTGATGACGAATCTTTCTTCTGTGCTGGTTTTCGATGTAACATTTGAGCCATCTCGTTTGCCACTACTGTCCACACTTATGAAGGTAATCAAGTGGCAACGAGCACGTCAAGAGTATATCACAGAATTAATGAGGTGGCAGCAGCACACGCCGACAATCACAAATGCTCGCTCTCTCCAATCTCAGACGTGTTTTAGTGACAGCAAAAGCAGACGGACGGGAGAAGAAAAATAAGAAACCAGTTGTAAAATTCATAAATTTGCATCTAGAGAATCCAAAAGAGGAAATGAATACATGACCATGTGTCGGAGGTACCTTGCAATCTGCATAGTTATTCTAAGAGCCACCGTCAAAGTACCGCCGTCATAAATGAATATAATCTTTAATGTTCTCACTTGTATAGTACCCAATGGGTCACGGGGGAGTACGGGTGCATGCACTAAAAAGGGAGGGGAGGGGGGCATCTGGCGACAGAAAGTGCCCCAACAGGCTGTCAAGTAGCACATTTCGAATGTTGGGGGAAAAAAGCCAAAGCTACCGCAAAGACCATGAGCACTTTTCTGCCATGACTTTTCCTTTCTGCTGGTAATCATCAGGTTGTGATGCTGAACGATCAAAATAGCAGGCTTAATTGTGATTCTGCCGCAATATTTGATATAATCCCATTGAAGAGTACATTGTCCGGCCATTCACTTTGTCCATCGTTTGTTTATCCCATTTTAGAAAGCAATCTACAGTAATGATAGGGTTTGGATCACCCCAGTGAGCGAGCAGGGACCAAGAACAAAGGATTGCCGTAGCCTGATTGGATTATTGAAATTGAGCGGGGGATGGTGGAGCAGAAGGAGCGAGCACGCGTTATGATTGAAATTTCCGCGCACTCTTCTTCCTTTTGGCATGGTAATCTCAATCTTTATACATTATCTACTAAAGAAAACAAATAAGAAATAATGTGATCAAAAGGCAAAACGAAATGCTTTTTTTTTAGTTAAGATGTCTGTCCAGTTTCTCTGATACAAAAACTATTTCGGCTTTTCTCCCATTGAATTCCAAGTTCAGAGAGCCGAGTCCAACATTGAAATCCCATCAATTTGTCTCTCGGAAAAGCAATCTAGTGAGCATTCCTCAGTTTGGCACTAGGTAGGATGAGCTCTCGCTCTCTTCGCCTCCAGGGGCACATCTGCCCCGTTACCAGATCGAATTATCCTCGGGTCGGTGTTATTGCCGGCGTCTTCTTTGTGATATGCACACTGGTGTAATCCATTTACGGCAATCGAGATCTTCTATATATCGGCGACAACGAGTACCCAACTTGTTATTTTCATTTCTATTTGCAAAGTGTCACAGATGTGCGGTAATTTGCGGCGTTACAGAGAGGATGACTCGCTTTTCAATTTCTCATAACTCTAGGTCACTTCAAAGGACGCCGACTGCATGTAACCTCAAACAGCTTACAAACTTTTCAAAAAAGATTCTTTATTTACATTGAAACGCCGAGAGGAAGTGATTTGTAGCGAATTATTAACGTTTAATGAAAAGGGATGCTGCTTTTGTACGAGTTTCTGCGAGGGAACATTTCGTCTTGGGAAATCATCGGAGGTGCGGCGTTTCTCTGACGTCTTCTGTTCAGCCGACTCGTAGGCCAGCACCAGCAGTAGAGCCCGAGGAGAACTGAAAAAGTTTGAATTTCAGTTATGACACTAAAACACAAGTAACGTGCTATGATTAGGGTCTACGTGACCTTCAGCTAAATAATACTATTCTTGCGTGTACACACTCACAGAAAAAGAAGATGATAGCGGACAAGCAGCAGATGATAAGAACCCCGTTGTTGATGGGAAAAGGACAGCACGATGGTTTATACGAACCCATCTCGAATGGAAACGAGCAGCAGTATTGGTAGTTTGACGGGTCACTGGGTCCTGGGCAAAAAGCCGGGTATCCTGAAAATGATCAACATTTGATTTCTCATTGGTGAACTTCCGCTTTCCGCCTACGCGACAGTTCGGTCATCGCAAACATTAGAATTGGGTTTTAGTGCAAATTATAATTGAAATTTTACCAAGCAATACACAGAAAAGCGCAAAATGCGAAGAAAATCAACCTGAACAATTGTTTTGAAACATTTCAACCTAAGAGAAAAAGCAAAAAAGCGCCCGGATTTACAAATTTCGGAACATTTTTGAAAAAAATGGTGGTTGCTTCTTCAGAATTTTTACTAGGTAATTCGCTATTTTTCATTGAAATTAGCTAGTATGATAAACGCATTTTGCAAACTAAAAATTACAAAAAGGCACGCTTTTAGAAAAAGTTTGACTGAAAAATCGTCTTTTGAAATTTCAGTACTAAAATACAGATCTGTGGTCATATCGGCCCGGCCCGGCCAGCGAAAAGAAGTCTGAGAAAAAATGTTTTCAATCGAAATTCAGTTCAGGCGGACAGTTGATACCTCTATGGATGCATTCAGTTCTCAGAATGTGCCGATGGGTCTTTCTATTGACACAATGTTCTTTGACGGAAATAAAAAACATTCGAAAACATTGGAGAAGTGAGCAAATTGAGAAAAAAGAGACATTCTAGAAAAGGAAAAGAAGAAACATGACTGATATGGAATGAAACTGTTGACTGTTATTGAAATCAATCTTTCTTTTTCCTTCTCTTCTCTCGGAATGTTTGTGACTCAACTCACCGTGCCCACTTTCACACCAGTTGATTTCTCGTTTCTGAAGCAATCGAATGAAATTGTTCATATCGGATCCGTCAGCGAAAGGAGCAATGAGAGGCTAGATCGCGGCACAATAGGTAACCATGTGGGCAAAAAATTGGGTGGGGAGAGAAAGAGAGAGGTGCGGTCTCTCTGTGCAAACAAGATATCAGGTCGAATGTCTCCGGCGGTAAACACCGGACCGACTGGCCAAAACAGACCGCGCCAACGATCCGTCGTCCACCGATTCCGTTTCGTGGCAGAAATGGAGAAAGCAAGAATACACATCGGCAACGTTTTTGATCAGCTCTTTTTCTTGTTTTAGTCCGACAAAACACAACAAAACGCGATGGAAAGAAAAAAGAAGACATTATTTTTTATGCGGACAAAAGATTAATAGAAAAAAAACTAATTAAAGATATATTTTGTGTATCCGGTTAAGTAATTTGACATGACACCACCTGCATTTGAATTGTAATCAATAATCATCAACTTGGAGCAATTGTTTGAACAAAAATAAAAGGCATAGAATTTTGAGTTGCAACGGAGGGCACAGATAGTAATCACAGAAGAATTATGGACAGTTGCGCGGGAGGGAAAGCAGAGACATGTCGCACTATGGAAATACCCGTGGAGGACGATTAAAAAAACTATCAGAAAACGGGAAAGACCGGTAGAGAATGACTGAGCTTCACAAGTAGCCACTGCTCCATCGCAATAGATTCGTGCGTTTCATGCGGTTGAGTTTCTTGGCCGAAGGACCCAATTGAGGTGACACACCACCTTCAATCGTTCCGTTTCCGTCCCGCTTCCTGGAAAAGCAAAAACGTCAGATGTTATGGGGGAGAGCGTCGCACCTCAGAATGAGATTCAACATTGGCGATGTCGGATCGGGGGCCATCGCGTAGAACGGATTGCAGTTGTCGGGCAGAACAAACTCTCCGCCACGTGGCAGAAGTTGAACGAGCAGATACTTATTCTTGTCGTCTTCTAGCAAATGTTTCTCAAGAGCACGAGCAATCAATTGCGGCATCCGGTCGCCATTTTCAATCTGAATACAAGCAAATTGTTATTATTTTTCTTGAACTGGACCAAGTCTTACCTTAATACACTTGTAGTTGGCACCGTCAGTGTTTTGAAGATCGTCGTCTAAGCCGACTCTTGCCAGGTAAAATGAATTTTGAGCTTGTGAGGATCCATTGGCTGACAGGGAAGAAGAAGATGAACAACTCGAGGCGTCGCTTCCCTTCTTTTGATGTGAAAACACTTTCGAGTCGAACACTTCAGCAAGTCTTGTTCGGATCGGAGTGGCACTTCGGGACAGCGATTGCGTTCCACTCTGCAATTGATCAGTTATTATCATGAAGGCATTAATTGATTATTGTAACTAACCGTTCCATCCGCACTCGCTCTTGTTGAAATTGACGTATTCACTTCTTGAAGGGAGGATTCTCCGCTCTTGCTACGGTTGTGACTGCTGTACGGGAACAGGGAAGACGGCGTGAACTCGCTGCCGCCAGTCCATGAAGCATTCGCACTAGATGGAGTGTTCGTGTTCGTCCCTCTGGGCAAAGTTGACGTTCCGGAAAGCGGCACAGGACCGGGTGGTCCGCCGTCCAGCCTTCCGTCAATCCAGTCTTCACATTGCAGCCCGCTATCACGCGAGTGTTGCGGGGTTCCGCTGTCGGAGATGTTCAGTGAGCTTCCGGTGTTGATGGATGGTATCTGAGAGTTGGTCGACGAGGAGTACGAATGAGAATGTTGGTGCCATGTGCCGTTGGTGCCGTTATGACTGCCACTGTCCTCACTAGTTTTTGATGAGTTGAACAATCTTGACAGTGTGGAGCTAGAAACATGACGTTCAGATTGGAATCAAAAGGCTTTCTTACTTTTTGATGGGTGTGCTCTGAGAGCCATTGCTCAGCAGACTGCTGTTAATCCTCGAGGACGACAGATCCGGAGTCGAGTGAATTGGCGGTTTCTCAATTTCCAAAGACCGATTGAAGCACTCGTTTTCATCGAGACAGGGCAGGAAGTAGAACCAAGCACAGAACATCCGGTCCATCGGGATGTTGTAGGCACGGGCGGCCGACTGGAACAGCCGCAATTTTGCTAAAACTTCAAACTCTTTCCTCCTTTTCTCAAAGTTGATAAGGTTTTCTGAAAACAAACTATCAACATTGAAACTAAAGTAGAATTGTTCAAAACCTGGAGTGTAATCCGGCGTGCTCTCGTCAACCATAGCCAAATCAGTCAGAAAGTTTCCAAGATATGGCACAGTTCCTTGACATTCTGCCAAGTTCACATCGCTTTTTGTCCGCCGACAGTTCTGGATCAGCTGAGGACGTCGGAGTGGCGAGCTCTTCGCAGTCCCTTCCTGCTCCAATATCTTTCTCGCATTCCCTTGATCGCCGTCTTCGTCTGTCTCATAGATCGACGAGAGCTCACGGAATTGTGAAATAGACCGACTGAAAGAAACCGTTGTTATTTGATTCAATATTTGCTTGGAAAAGACTGAAAACTCACTTTGAGACCAAGTTCCAAGCAGATTTCAAGCGATGGACTGGTTCGGACTGGAGACTTGACAGAACCGCTTTGAGCGAGGAGAAGTTCTTAAGAGCCCGCAGTTCCCTTGCGATGTCAATCCACTTGCTGATAATCTTTGCCCGGTATTCGGGTCGACAATCGGGAAGCACAATACTCGTCATGACTCTCTGAGATACCGAGTTGAACTGCTCGATGGTCGCCTTAACAGTGTAGACTCGCTCTCCCGCCGTCCTTCGCTTTGACCACACACATCCTTGGCACTGATGTATTAACAGCTCTTTGAACAACGCCTGCAAAAAATCAGAAAGTGAGAAAAAACGCCCGACCACATTAATAAATCAACTAACCGCATCCCAGAACGTCAGCTGCTCAGCAATTTGGACACAATTCTCCTTGCCAACATCAAACATTTTCACTCGTTCCTTGATGTTGTTTGGGTAGTCAGAGGGATCAAAACCCATATTGGCAACGTATTGGCCGAGTGATGGAAGAGCAGAAATGATTCCTCCCTCATCGTAGATCCGTTTGAAGCACTCGCGCTGCTTCCGTGCTTTCGCACGTAACTCTGTCAACTTGTTTCTGCCTCCAAAGTCCAATAAATTGGTGAGCATGGAAAACTCTTTGTCTGGATCGTAGAAGTCTTCTGGATAAGTTTCAAGCCAGCACATCACAATCTGTCTGATTGAGCTGAAAAAAATGTTGTTTTTCGCAGGCACGACAGCGATGATATTACTTTTGAACGAGCAAAGCTGATGTGCTTCCGTTGACCTCATTCTCCAGTGCTTCATACCTTCGCAACAAACTACAAAATGTTCTTTTCGAAAACGATTTGGTCTCAGTAAAGCGACTAACCAGTCCAGGACGATGGCCGCATCGGTGAATGCGCGGTAGGTTGCAAAAAATACGTTGAAATGCCGCGAATCCATCATGTCATCGCCGCCGACGAGGCATTCCTACAAAAACGAATCGCCGTAAGACGCGTCATAATTTCCGAAAGCAATTACCACAAGTCGTTCAACTGTTCCAGCCTTGATCACCTTTTCCTTGACGGATTCCCACTCAAGGTGATCCGCCCCAGACATATCAGCGCTCTCGTTTTTGGGCCGATCCGGATCGATCGCTCGATACCTCTGAAAAAAAGTAATTAACGAATGGAATACGATAAAATGCAAACTTTAGCACATCTCTTTACCAATTTTTGATTACTAACCGGTAGTAAATTATTAGTAAGTGACTCAAATGTGAAGTATTGCATTAGATACGGTGTACAGGCAGCTGAAGAATGGAGAATTTTGCCGGTTCCGCAAAACGACACATAACTGAGGACGCGAGGAGATTGATAGAAAAGATCAGGAATGACCGGAAACCGCACGAAAACAATCGATTCAGGAGGCATATTTTCGGTGTGCATGGGAGCGAAGCCTCGCGGACGGAAGGGTGCGCGCGATCGTTCGAAAAATTTCATGCGATTTCTTAATTTGCAATAATCCGCTTAGAGACAAGTTTCCAACTTTCGGCAACTTGTCGCCGCAATAATGGCAATGGCGAAAGTAGTGCAAACAAGATCCAATGGAAGGCGAGTTGCCGAGTGGTGGCGGGGGCGCGAAAAAGTGAAGGCGAACATATGCTGTGCCCCCGGGCCGAATGCTCTGACTCACTTTTGACGTGTAATAGAGCACACGAAAACGAAAAACGAATAAACATCGAATGGACTACAAAAGAGCAAGATGCGGAGAGAGTTAGAGAGAGAGAGAGAGAGAGGTTTGGCCCTATATGTACAGAAGGTTTTTGGCACTGTGTAACCATTTGATGGCAACACAAGTAGAGAGCGTCAGGTGCTGGTACTTGTGTGCTAAAAGAGATCTCTATTGATCAAGGAATAAAGAATTTCCATATTTCCTGATGCATGCGAGCTCTTGCATGTTTAATAAATCTTTGCTGGTGAACGTTGATTGATGATGAGGAATGTTTTGAATCCAATAAATCACGAATTACACTGACGGGAATAAATGGGCGAGTGTATGTTTTAGTAGGCTCATTGGTTCACACACAATGCCCCATCAGAGATGTCTTTGTCTCCCAGCCTCGCCTGACACGTTTTGAAGCCGGAAAGATGTTCATTCCGCACCGTTATATTCTATAAACACCTATTTGACTAAACAGAACAGCTTGACAACATTATGGAAAGATCTAATGATGCGCATGAAAGTTTCACCAAACCTGTTGAGACAAGAATATGCCAGAACACTTCTTGTACGTGACGGACATCATTTGGTATCAAAAACGTTGCATTTGTTTCGGGTGTAAGTGAAACACGGGCAAAAATATTGGATAGTTGAACGAAAAGAGGTTTAATGAGGGACCCCGTGTAATCTATATCGATAGTGACAGATGATGAGTGGCGCTTCGTGGGGAAAAGAGGAAGAATGTGCAAAGGAGAGCATCTCAAAACATGTGTTACGCAGTCACCACATTGTCAATCAGAATTGAAAGAAAATCCTGAAGAATCGGATTGAACACATGTGGTAAAGTGCACGATGATCTAGGTCAGGTAGCAATAAAACCAGTAATCCGGGTGAGGGGCGAGGCCAGCTGGCGTTATTTTTTTTGCATTAACCCGATTTGGACGAGGATTGACAATAAAATGCGCGAAATTTTAGTGGGTGCAAAACGAAAGCTTTGAAAACCTTCGTTTGATAGCCAGAACCCACATCTGTGGTTTATGGACCAACAGGTGGGCTACATTGTGTCAGTGGGAAACTGGATTGTTGGACGAACGGGAAAACGGAAAGAAGAAAAATAACGTACTCACCGTCATGATAATATAGAGTTGCTGAATGGAGGAAGAGCGCTTCCTTGCAGTTGGTGAATAACCGGCAGAAGATAAAAAGCGGACAAAAGTACGTGTCGCCATAGTATGTGTTACTTCACTGTTCGATGGGCTTTATGACAGTCGAAGAGGCCGATTAGAAGAGGTTATAGTGGGGGGGGGGGCTAGCAGACACGCCGCTTTGCCTATGCCAATTCCTTTTTCCGAAATGAAACCGGTGAGATTTACTATTGGCGGCGGACGAAGACAACGCGTAAGGGCCCAGAATGGAAAATGACTGGAGACTTCAATCGCGAGGAGAATAGTTAGAAGTACGCGTCACCCGGCCACCTTTTTCGTCTGACGCCTGACTACTATAAACGTTGCATTCTCCTCTTCTTCTCCACCCCGCACCTCCTCTCATTCCATATCAAAATGGCAAATAGAAAGTGATAAGATGGATCGTATTGAAGCGGAAAGAGAGAGAAAACGAGGCTTCGGCTGCCAAAAACAAGACGTAATGAGGGTGGACACTTTTTTTTGGGCTGGTGGAAAGTGAAGGACAGACATTGCACGTCGGATTAATGAAAGTTGCTTGTGTTTATCTGATCTTCAAAACTCTATTGACGATTCTTTTTGGTCTTCCTGTGGGCGACTCCCGATGACTGATTGCGCAGTGAGTCAGTGCCGGAGAACAAAGAAACTGCTGATAACACTCTCGAAATGTGTGATCTGGTTGCAAAATGTGCTATTGGAGTTGGGCTAACTGCTACTTAACCTTCAATCTACACAAAAGAAGTCTCTATCGCTTAGGTGTGGTCAGTTTTGCACTATAAGTGAACTTTTCCGTTATCAAACCTTACCGAACTGAAGAACCGAACCAGTCTAGAATATTTTCCTTCGAAATCATAGCTTCTAGTGCGAAGTTTCAAACTACTCCAGATTTTCATTCTTCGTAGGCAGAGACACGAATACGAAGCGAGTGTAGTATGTCAGAATGTTCGTCACTTTGTTTTTTCTTCGTATGTTTTGTTTTCGTTTTCGAGCAGAGATTCACGCCTTCTCATGTTTCGAAATTGCGGATTCACATGCTACTCAGAAATTGAAAAAAATGTTCCTTTTCTACTAGGCGCGAGTTTCATCAAGTATACAAAATAAACAAAACGTGGAAAACAAGATGTGGTAGGTATAACTATAGGAAGAACACTTTTACGCCGAAGAAATGGGTCGAGAAACTGTATCTTACAACCATCTGGACTACTTTGAAATGGGAGATTGTGATCACAAAAGCATATAGAACGTTCCCATTCCAATTTCATTTTATTGGCCGGCTACGGTTTCGTTTCGTATTCCTGAATAGAAATGTACATACCGGAACACCCTCGTATCCTTGCGGCGGCACATATCGAACCTTGCGTAAATACACAGCATAGATGGCGTCCGGGTGTTTTTCATCACCCCAGTAACGTGAAGCCATTTGTGTGAGACGGTTTCTTCCTGATCTTCGGAATCCTTTAACCCGTCATGCCCTGCAAGTTGATATGATTATCCAAATAAATTTTTAATGTTCGAATCAAGACGAGAACGCAAAAGCGAAGCATTTGAAGTAGTTGCCAAGTGGTTCTCGATAGAAAACCTGTGCAAGAGACCGACTAGTCATCATGAGTAATAATATTGGTTATTGAAAATGAGTCAGAGAAGGAGTCATGAGAAAAACTGTCGCAACTAAGGCTTCTGGCAGCCACTGACATACACAATCTGAATGCATTATCTCTGTACACTGCGAATGGATGCGGAAGAAAATGATGCAAGATTTATATTTGTGAATGTGAATCAAATCGAAAGTCACAGCTACATTCGTATTCTCATTTTCTCACTTCTTCTTGCTTCTTGTTCTTCCTTTTCACTCCTTTTTTCTTATTCAGATTGAACACAATAGAGTCTCTTCCAGAAGAGTTTTTGGTGGAAAAGGTGAGAGCGAGAGAGAGAGAGAGAGTCTGACAACAAGACCGTCGTCAGATTCTCAGTGGTAAGTTTGAGGGAAAGACGAATGGAGAGTGATGACAGTGGTGGAAGAATATGGAAATGAGATATGAGAGAAGTTGAAACACAAACGGAAGCAAAACGTTTTCGGAAAAGAAAACGGAAGCGATTACCGCGGAAGAGACGAAGAAAAGGGTTTCCATGAAAAGGTCTAGGGTGTGGTTTCGGATGAAAAGGAAATGAGAAAAAATGGATAAGAAAATCAAGGAAGGTCCTGGAAAACGTGTATACTTTTTGCAAGCTCAAAACTTTATCGATTCTAACAAAAGCCCCAAGTTTCGAAAGCCGATTCATCTTTTCCAGTGCGAGGCGTCAACTTTCCCATGACAAGTAAAATCGGTGGGCGAGAACGAATGCGAACGGGGGCAAACGAGGAGGCTATTCAAGAATACGTGACAAAAAACGTTCTTTCTGTACTTGGCGAGAGAGAAAGGCAAAAAACAGTATGGATGAAATTTAGGAGTGAATGGGTGGGCAAAAAAAGATTGATTGAAAAAGAAAGACATTGGAATGAGGTTGACGCGATGAAGGAAATTCATTCGCAAGGTCACTATCCCGCTAGACACTACTTCCAACACATTTCGGGGGCTGTTCGGACTGCCCTCTCTCCCTCCCGGCGACAGATTCGCCCCCGTGCCCTTGCTTCTGTTGTGATTGCCAACTATTATGCGAGAGAGACAAACGGAAGAGCGAAATTTTTGAATAAACTATGTAGAAAGGAAGGCAGTGAGCGGTTTGTTCTTTTCCTCCCACTCCCCCCGGAAATTAGTGTCCGAACGACAACGAGATCAGTGATAATGTGATCGTGATACAAACTGAAACTGACAACACAACAGAATTGGAAGAAGAAGAAGAAGCAGAAGCGAATTAAAAGTTAACTGTCATCGCTTCTTTTTCTTGTTTTTGTTCAAGAAAAAGCTGTTGATTGGTTGCCAACCAATTTCTGTCAATATTTTTGTGGCGACGACTAGCAGCAGACTAAAAAAAACGTAATCCGGTGCCGTTGCCACCAACCCAAACGAAACGACATGCGGTTTTTGTCGTGTCTATCGTATGGAATAGGCAGACGAGAGAGCAGCAGCACATGTGGAAGCAGTAAGGCAACAAGGAAGCTTTTTTGAATCCCTTCTTTTTGTATACGAATAAAAAACTCATAAACAAAAGTGAGAAGCCTGAAAGTACTTTGAAAACTATTATACTACATCAAAAGCATAAATCAATAATAGGGATGAGGGAGGGAATGAAAGAGGGGGGAGGGGGTTTAGGTTCGGGATGAGGATGGAGAGGACGAGGAAGAGGAAGAGGACGCCCTCACCAAGTGTTGTTATTTAGTAGGAAAAGAGAAGATGACCTTCGAGTCTGTCGGCGTGGAGAGCGCTCGTTCTAACTGGTATCCGATCGGCGCGGTGGCCACTTGTATTCAGTGTAACACGAGACACTAATCATGATCACCAGATTTTGGACTGTACGGCCTGATAGGGCAGCTCTATTAACGGACACTGGTCAAGTCCGATTCCTTTTTTGAAGAGAAAAAAACTATATCATCATTAAAAAGAAGAGACGAGATTGATCAGGTTTGACGTTTAGCCCTAGTTACTTCCGAGCACAGGTGCTAAAGGCAGGCTCAGAAAATGTCCAAACAAAACGGTTCTAAAAGTAAATAATGAGGGGTGAGGTTCCAAACAAAACGAGGAGACCTGAAATAAAAGCAAACAGAATAATAAGAAAAATTAGGTGGAAGGAGGCGGCTGGCGGCTACCGCTGCGACTTGCGGAATGACAGCTTCGATCGGTCAACAATTCCGAAATCTGTCCTCATGTTCCGGCACACAGAAGGCACGACACTACACATATTTTGATATCGGATAAGAGCAAAAGGCTGACACTGACTATTCGGGGCAAGCAATTTCTGAGAGGGTTCTTTCAGGCGGCACTCGGGTGAATGCGAACAAAAGAGAGGCATGGACAATAGCGGAACGGAATTTAATTAAAATTCAAAACCTACTTTGCATGATATTACTATTATTCCGCGTTACTATTGAATACGTTTTAGCGAAGTGGTTAGGTCGAATCAAAATGCAAAGAAGCAAGACATAAGTATGAGCAAGGCAGAGAATGTAAACGGGATGTAGCTTTTGAGGAAAAGTTCAAATATCTGTGAGAGTTTTGACCAACGACCAGAGACAAATAGGTAAGAATGTTTTCAGACGACGTCATGATTATACGATCACACTTTCAACAAAAGCAAAAGTGGTCGGCGAGCACTAAACGTTATCAGTGCAGTATGTTGCTAGAGCTCAACGCTAACAAAAAAAAAGTATAGGGGTGCTCGAGAGGCGGCACAAAAAAGTGATTAAAACTGTCGGGGGCTCAGAAGAACATGTCAGCTCATCTTTCGATACCTGGAACAAGAATCCGAGACAAGATGAGGAATAGGGGTAGAAACTCATCACGTGTGACGTCACATTGTACACTTCCTTATGTCATTGGAGCGGGAGGAACGCGGCAAAAGTGGTTTGTCGAGTGGGCTTTGGAAGGCTCAAGCAAGACAATGCGCGGACAAAAACGACTGGAGGAGAGGCAGGAAGAGTGCTGGTAAGGCATTGTGTATCTTGGCAGCCAAAACGACTACGACTAAGACAATAGCTGTCAGTTGGAATTCGGGAAAAGCGACCGCCAATCTGTGCGGGTGGCCTGCGCAACTCCCTAGGAACCGTTCGGAGAGGGTGCAGATCAGCAAAGAGCCACAGCCTGGTCATTCGAGCAGTATGTGTGTTGTGTGTGTGCAGAGCAAATACCGCGATGTGCGACGGAGCGACTCGACGGCGAATGATGCGGCGGCACGAGAAGGAGAAGGAGGACACGCAAAATAATCTGACTTCTCGCCGACGACACGTTTCCGTTGTTCGCCCTCGGGCGTGCTTGACTCCCGCGCCGGGGAATGCAATGATATTCGATTCGCCGGGAGCACGCACTACGAGACGCTTCTCGATGAAATTCTATCTTTACGGAACGTTGCGACATTGCAGAATAGTTTACGTTTGGTGTTAGATTACTGATAGAGTGTTTGTAAGAATAATTAACGATTTTATTCAGTTTTGAGAGGTAAAGTGGCACGAGATGGACATTTAGTTGGTGCAGTATACTCCTCCGTTGGTGCTGAAAATATTATTTCAAAAGCTGAAACATTTTCTAGACGGTCTTACTCGGCGTTCCAGATGAGCTGTTGGATTGGCTTGATCACGTTGTTCAATGTGGTGAAGTCAGTGGCCGTGAACGAGCACGCGCTTCCTCCAGAGATCGTCTGCAATTTGTTGCTGTCGAACGAGTTTCCGTATCCAACAGTGACGATTCCGTATTGTTTCTGGGCCAAGATAGTCTGGGCAGATGGAGTCGGGTCAGTGTAGAAGCTGAAATAAAGTTGACGCTATAATTTTTCGTGGAATGAATACATACGAAGTAGTGGTGGTGATGTAAACCAAAAGATGGTTGTTGATCTCGCTACGGTATCCGGCAGACATGTAGTCAGTGGAAGTGACAACTTGCAGGTTGTAGGTCAGAACTTGTCCGTCATGGTCGAAGTCGGCGTAGTTGTCTTTAAGGAGAGCCAAGTTGGAAATCAAAGTGGATTGCGAAGTTATAGAGTTGAGTTGGGCAGCTGGTGGGGCTTGGTCTTCAAGATCTGGAGCGACGACAATCAATCCAACACGGGCTCCGGAGATTCCGACGTTGAAAGAAACCATCAATGTTTGAACGAACTTGGTGAACTAAACATTAAAATTGACTAACTTCTTTTGACAATATTGGCTTACCGAATCAAATCCACTTTGAGCATTTTGGGATCCATCGATTAAGAAAACGACGTCGAATTGCAGGTTGACGAAAGTTCGAGGGGTGGTCACAGGGAGGGATGGGGTGGTGATCGTGGACTGTCCAGGGGCCGGGGTCTGAGTAACGGCTGGGGTTTGGGTCACAGAAGCGGTCTGAGTTACTTGAGTAGTTTGTGTGGCCTGGGTCACGGGTCCTTGGGTAGTTTGAGTCACGGGGCCTTGAGTCACTGGCGCTAGAGTAACTGTTGATCCGGTAACTGGCTGCAGCGTCGCTGGGGAACGTCCTGAAAAAAATGTTCTGTGTTTGAAGGTAGATTTGGCCCTTACCATTGCAAATAACCACTTCTTGTCTTCTGAACTTCTGGTTGGCCTCATCAACTCCGTGCACAAAGACGACAATCATATCAGAGTTGCAAGTGAACAGATCGGAGTAGTACTCGTAAGAGCAGCCCTCACGTCTGTACAGCTCGGATCGGAGAATGTTCTGCAATTTCAGCTTCCATACCGATTTAGTCACTTACATGTTAAACACTTACGGTGACAGTGTCGGCATCGAAGATCTCAACGTATTGAAGCTGTCCGCTGTGGAATGGAGATCCAGCAAGATGGAACACGGCGACGTTGTCGAATCCTGGCACAGGCATGACAGTTCTTCCGTCCTGGTGAGCTCCAAGCGGGTCGAGCTTTCCTCCGACTGGGTTCGGCAGAGAGAACTTTGTGTAGACTTTAGCTCCTCCGGTGGAATATACGTGTGCCAAGCAGAGGCCGGGGGGACTGGTGAGCTGAAGACTCCAGATTCCTCCGAGTCTGTCGACCTCAATCTGATAGATCTTCTGGTCGTTCACATTGTAGAGCACGTTGGCTTGGTGTCCGGCTATAAACTTTTCATGAGACGTTTGCAGATTACTTTTTCCTTACATCCGAGCGGGTCCTTGACGGACAGGGTTCCAAACTCAGAAGAGGTGGTGACGTATATGTAAGTGGTGTTGATGTCGACGGGGACGAACCATGGAAGAGATCCGTCGGTGCACGTGTAGTTGGCGATTCCGGTCGGGTCTTGCAGAACGGAAGCTCCGTAGAGCGATGGCAAATAGTTGTTGAGAAGCTGAAATAAAACGTGAACAACTATTCTTTGGTATGTATTCTTATTTCTTACAGTGACAATGTTAGCGGAGTCGGTGAAGAGGATGTTTCCGCTGGATCCGTATCCGAGCCAAGTCATGTCTCTCACGTTGTTCACTGCGTCGAAAGTTGGGCAGTTTGCGCTCTTCGAAACGACGTAGTGAAGCTAAAATTGAATGAAATGGTATTATGAAGATTGCATTCCCAACTGACGTGAGCTTCGGTGTTGAAGAGGGTGTTCATTGTCTCAATGTAGCTTCCAAGATCACTTGGTCCGGCGGCGGTAACCAAGAAGATCTCACTGTTTGGAATAGCAATAATATCATCCTGCTCCAGAAGACGCGCGAGAACGCTAAAACCCAGAAAGAAACAATAAGATTGTTGGAAACTGAAGGTGATTACCCAAGGTATGGCATGCTGCAAGCACCGTCGGTATTGATGTTATTGGACTGAGTGGTCAGGTCGGTAATGAGATCATCAACGGAAGTGTAGTTGACCTTTTCGAATGTTTTTCCAGTGGCTGAAAAAAAATAAGTGTAAGCTATTTTATTGCTTTTGAAAACTCACTGTCAAAAGTGACGAGTCCGTAGTTGGCGAACCAGAGCGGGTTGAAGCTGGTGGCAGAGGCAAGGATGGCCTTAAGGTTGACAATGAGCTGGCTAACAGTATCAATGTTCTGTCTCGTGGTTTCAACAACCAACAAGAACGTCTTTCTATCGTTACTGAAAAGTTGGGGGATGTTTGGCTGACAAATTTCTGAAATGAAAATGTTATAAAGACCATCTTATTCGTCTCATCTCTAACCGAATTGGCAGTTCTGCCCTGCGTATCCGTCTGGGCAAGAGCAAGTAGCCTCATCAGCGTTTCTGGTTCCTCCGTTAACGCAAATTGGAACTGTGCAACGGGATCCGGTCCAGTATTCAGTACATACGCATTGGCCGTTCTGTCTGATTCCTCCATTTCCGCAAGTAATCGTCGCCTTGGAGCAGTGACCAAAAGTCAAACGGTGGAAGGTGTTTCCGAATTCGTCCTCTCCAATGTGAAGAACTCCAAACTCGTTGGCCTGGTTGTCTCCGTTCGGGCACGGGAAGTCTTGAGACACAAATCCGTATTGGCAGGCGAATCTGTTCTGATACTTGAGTCCGTTGTAGAAAGTACCGTTGTAAGCATCCCAGAGAATGGCGTCAGTGAGAATTGGGGAGCGGTTCTCGTTATCGACCGAGTGGACATAGGTGATAAGACGGTTGGATGGCGAGTCTTGAATTGGATCCGGTTGGGGGAAGTCACTTCCTATTTCGGTGACGAATCCGGTTACAATTTGAAGGCTGGATTGGACACGAACGCTCAGAGTACACATTGGTACGCTGCCAGTAGCTGGATTAGACTTTAGCTTGGCGTACCAATAACCAGCAGGGAGGTCGTCGTCTCCAATGGTGTTTGGTCTGTGATCGGCATCATATCTATGCTTTTGACAGATGAATGCTCTTGGAGTGGAGCACGAGTCGGTAGTCCAGACCTTGGAGGCATCACCCGATCTTCCATCGAAGTACACGCATTGGTTGACGGCGTCAGTGCTTGGCTGGTTGTCGCCCCAGAAGTTCTGTGCCTGGTTAAGTGGAGTTGGTTGAGCACCTTGTCCTCTGTCCCAAACCCATTGGGTTCCATCGTTGTAGAGTCCAATCCAGAACTGAGTCTTGGCAGCAGCGGCATAGAGGAAGTTGTTCTTATCATCACTGAGATCATCAGCAAGGAAGCCTCCAGCGGTGGCGCAGAAGTTCTTGGCTTGCGGCATTGGCAAGACCTCATCAGTGCTGGCAAGGAACTTGACACAGTATTGGCCGTATGGCTCCCACCCGTCATCGCAAGCCTTTCGGACCTCATAGACACTCTGTCCAGTGAAATCGTCATAAAAGAGTTCAAGGGCCTCGGCAAGAACTCCGTCTCCAGTGAAGATTTGGAGAGTAGTTCCATAACCGAAAGTGTCGATTTGGATTGTCTGAGTGTAGGCGTCAACCGGGAAGTAAGTGACCAGTCCATCGTCATGTCGGCAGTCATCGGCATAGTTGAAGGTGACTTGTCCGTTAGAGAACTGCAGTGGAATGAGTCTGACAGCGTTGGAGATCTCAGCCGCTTGAAGGTTGTACGTGGTTCCAGTAGATCCACTGACAATTCCAAGAAGTGTGTAGTAGTTCTCAACAGTAGCGTTGCAGACGAATCCTGCTGGAGTGAGACGTGGATTCGAGGTAAGGTATCCGTAAAGAACGAGGTCCATGCTGCGAGACATATCGTAGAAAAGTCCAAGAGAACGGGTGTCAGTGTCGTCTTCCGGAGTAGTCTGGAAGATTTCAACGAAAGACCCTGGAGCAAGATCTCTGGCGAAGATTGCGTGGTTGAGAGCATCCCAGAGCTTGACGGTGCATCCAGTGTCGGATGGGACAGAGGAAGCGATAGTAGACATGGCGCTGATGATGTCGGTAAGATTCTCGGCTGGAGACTCAGCAAGCGGTCCTCCCCAGGTGGAGTTGTATCCGACAAGCACAAAGTTTCGGATCCATCCACGGTCCTGCATGAGCACATCACGGATGATTTCTTGGAAGTTGGCGTTGAGCATCGCAACGGAGGCAATGGACTGTTGGGTGATCTCAACAGCGAACACCATGTCGACTCCGTATCGAATAAACTCTGGGTCCGGTCCGGTCTCAATACATCTGGCGAGCTCGCAACTCTCTCCGGCGTATCCTGGTGGGCACACGCAGTGATCTCCGTTGGCAGTTCCTCCGTTGTAGCAAACAATGTTCTGACAGTATGTTCCAGTGAATTCTGGGGTACAGAAGCAAGTGGTGTTCGACGGGTTCATGACTCCTCCGTTCTGGCACTGGTGATCTGGTGGAGGAGTTGGATGCACCTGGGCGCAGTACATGGTTCCCGCTCGCTGAAGAGACATGTCGAAACGGTCGCGGGCAAAGAAGTTGAAGTAAAGGGTCTCGTCTGGAACACGGCAAGTGAATGGTGGGAAGTAGAAGTTGAATTCGCAAGCATCTCTCCACATTCCACTGGATCCGTACACTTCGATTTGCTGTCCATCACGAATCGCGTAGATCTGGAGGTTGGCGTGAACACGGTCCATGGAAATGAATTGTGGGTAGTTGGTGACGTGGAACACTGGAGCGGCATCAAAACCAAGAACCGGCTGACGGAAAGACCCAGCGGCGGTGAGCGAAGTGGCAAACGACCAGAAGATGTCGTAGTCTGGGCTGAACTGGCTGACTCCTCCGAAGTTGAACTTCTTCTGGTAGACCTTGAAGGTGCAGGCGTCGTTGGTTTGAGATGGGATCAGAGTGAAAAACCATTGTCCGGAAACAACTCCAGTCTTGGTCCAGACATAGTTGACTCCGTCCGAGAAGGCAGTGTCGAAAGACGGGCGGTTGGTAAATGGATCAGTGACGAGAAGAGTCAAATTGGTTCCGGTGGCAGTGACCACAAGCATGTCAGTGTCCTGATCAACAGCAATCGATTTGTAAGTGTTCTGGTTTCCACAGTGAGTGTAATCTCCGGAGAGAAGCACTTGCGAGCGGAACAGGGTGTTCAGCATGTGCTGGTAGAAGAACTGAAAGTAAGAAGGGTCATCTCTCAATCAGTACAACTTCTAAACATACGGTAGAGACGGTGGTTCTATCAGTGAAATAGAAAGTGTGTCCGCCAGTGCGGGTGGCAATGTCAACCATGTCTCTATATCCAGCGCTGTCTGGTGATGAGTTGCAGGAGTCTGCTGGTGGTGGGGTCACGTAGATGAAGTAGATCTGTAAAAAATGAAACTGATTTCAACAATCAGTCTATCTGGTCTCTACCGGAGCTCTCCAGTAGGACTCTAAGTGGAATACGGTCTCCTTCTCAGCGCTGTCATTTGGAATAGCGTCAGTGATCACGTAGATTGGGGACTTGTTGTTCGGGTAGAGGGAGAGTGCGGCGCTGAAATCATTTGGTGGTGATAATTGTCTTTTTCCAGCGTTTCTTTTTTTCCAACTAATTCTCCACAATTACTCACGAAAGAGCTGAGAACACAGAGTCATTGCAACCTCCATCGGCCGGGGCCGAGTGAATCGCCTTGGTAAGATCGACCATAGCCGCATCCCATGAGGTGTATCGTTTGCTGCTCAAGAGCTCTGCAAACCAAGCCCATTACATATTTTTTCGGCATGCATTTTGATAAGGAAATCAAATTAAAGTGGGTGTAACCCGCTTTCATATTTGCTGGCACACTCACGGTTGTTATCAAAAAGGACGACGATGAAACTCGTCAAATAGTCGGGCTCAGTGGTGAGAAGGTCGACGATCTGTTGCACGGATTCAGTGGCCTGCTCGATAACAGTCGAAAGTTCTGATCTGGAGCGGATGACGAGGGTGAGGGTTGGGTGCTCAGCGTCAAAGTCGAAACCAGAAGTATCAGTACAGACAACTGAAATGGACATTTCACTCTTGACTCAAACTGTTGGACTCACTGTTCTGGCAGTGGAATCCGGTGAATCCTTCTGGGCACTCACAACGCTCGCTGGTTGGGTCCTTCAAATATCCTGAACGTACTCTTTTGATTACACCTTCGACGATGAGTTAATACCTCCATTAGCGCAGATCATCTGAGAGCAGTCATTTCCAGTGTACAATCCGAAGCAATAACAGTACGCGTTTCCGTTGGTGTCGTTCAGAAGTTGTCCTCCGTTTGCGCAAGCTGTGAGCGGATTTGGTGATGGAGTTGGGGCGAGAGTGGTGGTGGTAGTTGCCGGTGGCACTGAAGACGGAAACATTCAAGGAAAATATATCCTTTTCAACTCACATATACACTGATAGGACAAGATACGGCGGAACTTGTATCCAAAGTACGAAATTCCTTCGACCTGTTTGTTTTTATTATACTCTACTGCGTAAATTACGATCTCGTTCGTACCTGCAAGAAGTTGTGTCCAACGTCATTGTTGCTTGTGCGAGCGCAAGTGTATCTCTCCAGAATGTATGGGTAGGTGCAGTTGTAACGGACGTCAATATTGATGTATCTGGAGACGTGGTTCTCAGCTCCGGTGAATCCGACAGCCTGAATTTGTCCCGGGAACTCGAGTCCTTGCAGATGGAGGGCGACAACGGATTGGGTGTCGAAGTAGGCGTACTTGAGAGTTGGATAATCGTTTCGCTCGGCCTGATCTCCAGAAGTAAAACCTCCGGTGAGTTGGATGTTGGTACGAGCAGTCATCATCATTGTGCAAAACTCGTCTGCGGTATCAGCACGTGGACCGAGCAAGTACTGTCCTGGCGGCAATAACTGGTAGGTGGCGGTGTAAACGGAAGGACGCTGACTGTCCGAATCTGGGAACATAAGGTCTCCACTCTCGGACTGAAGATAGAAGGTCGGGTTCAACGGGGAATCCGTCTCCAGCTCAATCTTGATGTCGTACATGGTTTCGTCCACCACAATGATGTAGGTCTCGGAACAATTAGCCAGGTTACTAGCGTCGATGGCAATATCGTCCGTCGCTGCGTTGTTCGGAACGTACGGGTTGCGAGCAGAACACAGGGCTGAAAGGAAACAACTAAAACGGTTTGAGACACAGGACAATCACTCACGAGTCGTGCACGTTTCTCCAGTGTATCCTGGTTTATTGCATCCTCTGGTAGCCATGCCGGCAAGAACGTGTGGTTGGGCAACGGACCTTTTCGAAATACGATGGGAATCTGACTGAAACATTTCTTACTTAGAGGTTACTGTAGCTCTAGCTCGAAACTCACAAAGACATCGCTGTTCACGAGTGGTTGGAATCTCTGCTCCTGTACTGGCTGGAAGAACTTTCTATTGGCTCGTGGATTCCACGTCTTCAAAATTGTGCGAGCTCTCTCAGCGTGGCTGAGATCTTGCTCAAGAGCCAGGCAGACTGCAGCCAACGCTGCAGCCAACGCTGCAATCAACACCCAGGTCCGCATTCCTGTAAGCGCTAACATTTAGGGCGTCACTTAGAGAAGACTGATTGAGACGGGCGCGACTAATAGAATTATCGGAGAAACTGAAATGAAATGCAATCAGAGTCGTCAAATAAGAAATGGGTTGGGCTGTGTGTGCTCGTAATAGCGTGGCAAATTCTTATCTTTTTAACAGCGCGCATAAGGGCATAAAAATTTCGCCCTCTCCCACTTTGCCATCATCTTGTTATAGAAGAGTACATTTGTAACTTTTATTGGGAACAAAAACCATGTGAATAAAATTGGGATTTCACAATAGAGCAATCGATTGTTACTGCACACAGAAACATGAGAGTTTACCAAAAATAACATAGAATGGACACTTTGACAGGCTTTTGAATGGAGAGGTTTTTGAATTTCAATTTCTGTAAGAAATTTATTAGTACTGGTAAAGCGAGGGTGCAATATCGATAAGACATGGTTTCGGAACGAGTAGGCACGGTTATGCTGATAGAAACGAGTACAGAATGCAAATGCGGTTACTGTCAATTGGCTGGAGATCCGGTGTGAAACCAGGCTAAGAGAAGCTAACCAGTCGCTGCAACGAAAGAAAGAATTGAAACACGATTTGTGAGCATTGAATGATTAGCGGATTCGTTTGATGAGCAGATAAGCGTCTCTTGGATTGATACGGTAGTAATCCTCAATGATTCCGTCATTGGTGAAGCCGTGCTTCTCGTAAAAGTGCACTGCGTTTTGATTGTTCACCTGCCAAGCTCTTCACTATTTTTCATGTTTCCCAGTCTGAAACCGTACCTGAACGTGCAGGTACACCGTCTTAATTTCCTCCATCTTGTTGCACAGTTTCAATACATAGTCGATAAGAACAGTTCCGATTCCGATTCTAAAAGCAGGAAACACATCATTTCCCTGTATTCTCATTCCCATTCCAAGGTGTGTCATCCAATTAAATTGTCAAAATCATCGCTTTAACGCTAGCCCAAGACGTCACTGATAAGCGTTATATTTGATTTGAGTCAAAACTCACTGTCGATAAGCGGCCAAGGTTCCGAGCGTCATGATGTATAACGACTTTTCGTCCGATATATCATCGATTCGACAACACACGGCTCCGACCACACAGTCGTTGAAATAGGCCAAGCGGCCAAATTCTCCGCAAGATCTGGCCTGAAATCAATGGATTTGGGGATTAATTAGAGTTATTATCAGGCTCACTTCAACATAGAACTTGTCGTTGTAGAGTATAGGAAATACGGCTTCGTTGAGCTTTTTCAGCTGCTGAAAATTGCTTGACGGAAATTAACAACAACTCTTTCAGGGATCACTTACCATAACGTTATGTGGAGTGATCTCTCCGAGGTGAACAGAAGAGTTTCCGGCAATTGTTTTCAGCGGTTGTCCATTGATGTCGAACCTTTGGATTACCGGCACAACCTGCTCGACAGGGTCCTTTTTCTCTTCAGACGTCTCGGCTTTTCCTTCTTCCTTTCTTTTCGAATCGGCCTCTTCAGTCTGTTTCTTAGACGGCTTCTCCTTTTTATCAACTTTCTTGTCGGCAGTGTTGTCCGGCGACTTCTCCTCCTTATTATTAATCTGTTTTGCTTCGGACTTCTTGGAATCACCAGACTGTTCCGGAGAATCTTCCTTCTTGTTAGCAGCTGCTTCTGTGGCTCTTTGCTCGGCCTCTGCCGCCTTCTTCTGCTGTTTCTTGGCTCTCTTCTTAGCGCCCTTGCTCAAAATGTGCTCTCCTTTCTGCACATTATTATCCTCGGCCGTCGGGCTGCCAACCTTTTGTTCGCTTTCTTCGCTCATTATTACTGAAAAGATTAAAGTTACTAACTGATAAGCAAAAAAATTGTAAATTGAGGAATAGGAAAGATGCGAGAATACACTTACGTGGGGGGCAAAAATCAATGAGCGTATGGCACAGAGACAATGAGCATTGGATGTGCGTTTAGCGGTGCGCGAACGGCGTAAATGCAAACGAGCGCGCGCTGTTTAGCAAAAACGGAGTGTCGTTTGAACGCACGGATAGAAACAAACAATTGTGAACGTAGAAAAGCGACTGGCACCCGGGAGAAGTGCTGATTGTCGGGTTTAAATAGAAACTAGGGAGTGGGGGCAGGTATCTCATGAAACTATGTAAGCATGAATCAGACATCCCATAACATGGGGGAGAAGAGAAAGTGAATGATTGGTTTATGAGGTGGATCTTTAAGTTTTTGTCTAGAAAGTCTGGACTTGTTGGGAGTAAAGGATGAAGCATGTGTTTCAAAATAAGTGACGCACACTGTTGGAAATCTCGAGGGACTTGGCATGAATCACGATTCGACCAACAACATTTTCACCCAGAATGAAAACGAGCGAGAGCGCGCGGTCACACCGAATTGGCAGAATTTCTCTTGACGTGGCTAGAATTTATGACTGAATTCGGGAGAACAATGATCGATAACACACGTTTTTGTTTGTTAAAGTAATGGATATTGATATTGCCATTCTCGTTATTGTTTGCCTCTCAAAAACGAGAGAGAGTAACAAGAAATTGAAACTAATTTGGAATTGGCATAATCATGTACATGATGGATATGTTTACACGCAACCGAAGAAGAAGGTGGAGAAGGAGGTGTCTGAACAACAACGGATCACGGAAAGACGCGGGATAAAGGCCAGAGAAACGGCGTGGGCCACGCGGCGCACGCTACTCTCTCTCTCTTTCTCTCTCTCTCTCTCTCCCACATCCCCCTTGCCAAGGTGTAGCGTTAGAGTGCAGAAACTTTGAATGAATAACACAGCTTTACGGAATGTTTACCCACTAGTTGTCATTGATATTTGAACATTCGGTGCTCAAAACCAATGTTCCGGTAAAAGTAAAACGACTAACTCTCGTGTTTCTACCGCCTTTATCACTACAAAGAGGCCTTTTCACGGTGATAATAATGGTGGGTCGACGGCTGAAACAGTGGGTTTTGAGCGGAGTGTTTCCGAGAAAACGGACGTTATCGGAAGAATGAAGTTATACAGAAAACGACAGATGAAATACTTTTATTGCTTGATTCTTTTCGTTTTATGAGGGGGAATTGAGACGGCAAAAACCACCAATACGGGGGCGGTTCTAATATACAACTGTATCTGGGTTTCAAAGATTGGAAGAGAGAGTGAAAGAAGGAGGAATAGAGAAGGGAAGAAAAATGAGCATGTGAGAGTAGTTGGCCTTTCGTATTGTGCTTCAGTGCTTATCACCAATAACCAAAGAATGAATTTCGGTACCCGCACGAACTCGACAATCACAACAAGTGGAAGTCGTGATGACTGTGGGCACCCAGCGACCGTTGTCGCGCCGTAAAACGTCAACATTCCGATATTGTTGGACACATTCTCCCCAACCTGCGTCAAAGCAAGAGATTAGGCCCGTTTCCACGGAAATTATTGCACCTGACAGGCAGTAGTCGTCTGGCTTGCAGCTGAGCTCGTTTATGATTCGAGGGAAGTAGTTTTCCGGCAATTGCCGCCACGTCCAGCACGACCCTATAAAATATGGCGTCAATTGGAGGTTGTCATTCTGATATTTGGTCACCACATAAAGCTAGCATGTCATCTTCCGAGTCTCCGCGTGCCATGCAGCTTATTGTGAAACGATGTCCAATTATCGCCGGAGAGGTCGCTCGTTTCTGACGTTCTGCGGATAAAGAGAAAAAAGTAATTCGCGTCCTAGCTCAACCCGTTAATCTCACTTTTGAATCCGCCAAAAAGTCCGCCAAAGCCATGATTATTTTGATTCTGGCCGCCACCTCCTCCCCAACCTCCGCTAAAGTGGCTTCCACTTCCGAATCCGTCACCGACGCCACTTGTCCATGCGGGGACCTGGGCTGCGACTGGAGCAGGCTGTGCTGCGACTGGAAACTCTGCGTTTGCCTGTTGTCCCCATCCGTTTGACCAGCCATTTCCAGCTGAAGACGGAGAATCGGTTTAGTCTTTTGATCGCTCATAATGAGAAATGGAAAAGAAAAAAAAACGAAATTACCATTCTGAATGGGATTTCTAATAGCCTCCGAGACGGCGTGGGTGGTGGCTGGCTCCCAAAACCGGCCTGAAAGCTGTCTAGTATGATGATAACGTATTCAATTCTCATTCCCACCATTCCATTGTTGTTGGAGTCCATTAAAGTTTTGAAATGGCCGTGGGTTTTGGAATTGTTGTTGGAACTGCTGCTGAGGTTGTTGGAACTGTTGCTGTTGGCCTTGCCAAGGTCGTTGAAAGTTCTGATTCTGTTGGATTGATCGCTGATTGTTTTGGAATGCGTTATTTGCTCTTTGCTGCGCATTGAACCGATTTCGCATTGCCTGGTTGTTACGGAATTGTGTTTGTTGTTGGTTGTTCTGAAAAAAAACCTTTTTGAGAAGAAGTGATTAATGGTCACTAACCCGGTTTATGTTCTGTCTCTCTTGTTGATTCTGGTTCTGGTTCTGATTCTGATTCTGGTTTTGAATTCTGTTGTTTTGATTATTTTGATTGTTGCGGTTGTTGTTTCGATTAACTTGAGGAGTCTGAAACAATTTTGATAAGCTGAAGCCTCAAAAGTTCTCAATTCTAACATGTGGAGATGCTGATGGCGGAGCCCCTTGACTAGATCGAGTTACAATTGTACTTCTGAACGTTTTTCCGGCATTAATCAAGGTTTGAAGATAAGCTGGGATTGATGACGGAGCCACGGGGGATAACACAGGATTTGGAAAGTTGTAGCGAGGGCACAAACTGGGATTAAGTTGTGATTGCGGTAGTGGTGATATAGATGATCTGAAGAATAACAATTGTGCCTTGAACTTTTGAGACATGGCACCTATATGTTGAAGGAATGAAACCAATATCACCCAGTTTTCGATAAAGTAACGAAAAGCATTGCTGACATTCCGGCGTTTGGCACGAAAACGTGTTACTATTCTGAAAATTGAGATTGTTTATCTCCAAAACTTCCTTGTTTTCTTTCCTATTACAAACTAATTCGACCACACATTGTCAGGCTAATTAACCTTTCTTCGATATATTCCCTAACTCACAATTAACGGGCCAGGTGTCGCATGATGTTTTGAAAGGTCGAGGAAGGAAAGTATTGCCTCCTCGTAATTGACTGCAATGTACCGAGAGTCATAGGAAATGCATTGCCGGGACTCGGGATGGATCACACAGGGACACTGAAATGTTTGTCTTTTACTAAAAATCACGTCACTCTGCATGTCTATTCTTCTGCCAACCTGCTGTATCTGATTCCCTCGTGTTTTTTGGCGAACAACGTCTTGAAAGACGTCATTTGTAGCTTGCCGCTTCACAATATGGCAGAAAGAGACGACGACGGAGCAGAGAAAGATAAGCACAAGCTTCATCTACATTTACAACGTATCCGGTCGGCTCTGCACTGAAATTCGATTGAACATGTGAAATCACTGCACTGACATTCGGTTGATTGGACGAAATGCAGTGATGTGATTTCACCTGATCAGACAATTTCCTTTTTAGAGAGGTAAGTCTCAAATTAAACGACTAGACCATAAGGAGACTGCCGAGAGATGGCGAAAGTTGACAGAATTAAATCACCAGGAAGTATATTACACTAATTCTGGGAGAGGTCAGAACACAAACTCAAAGAAGGAGAAAGAACAGGTCGTGGAACAGTCCACTCAGCGAGAAAGCTTGAAGAACAATGACATAAATGAGGTAAGCGACTGACTAAACCCATTAATTGAAATATTCAGCGAACATGACGAATCAACACAAATCAGAAATATCCGCCCAAACGTTTTTGTTCCGAAAGACCCACACCGCATGCCATAATCTCCGACGTTTTCACACACCGGCCAGAAGGGAAGAAATGCCGAAGATGAAGCGTAAGTTCAAGTGACGACAAGACTTTCTCATTACTATAGATGGGCGATGATCACACAGAACTGGAATTACACACTTTGCAACGGCGTGCCGTGTGTGTGTGTAATTTGGTAAAGCGAATATGTTTCAATTGCTGTGAAATAAGAACATGTTGGCGACGTTTCAAGTCTGGTTTCCGAAAATGATTGGACACTACTTTTTTTTCAAAAAAAATGTATGTTTTCATACTACTTTTTGATACAAGGTTATAATTTGGGCAATGTTACGTGGTCAGACATTGCCGACAGAATACAGTGTAAACACTTCAATTCGGACCGTTTTGTACTTGCAAAATAGAAACTGTCGGCAAGGAAGACCACACAGAAATTGGAGGAAAACTGATGAAAAACGGCAGAGAACGCACTTGTTTCCTTGTTCTTTTCTTTTTTCTTTCTCTTTGATATTCTGATCTATCTAACCTTGGCACTGATGTTCTTGGTGCCTTCTAGATGGAAGATAAAAGCATTCTCTGCAATATTCTGTAGGAAACGTGAAAAATCGCCGCGAATATCTGAGAGAGAGAAAAGGTCGCAAAAATGTAACAGAGATGGAGTAAAGATTATATAGTTTTTAGTCAGAAAAATGAAGACGCCGAACGTGCTGTCAAGTTGTTTCGGTAGAATGCCTCAAGGTATTTGAATCTTCATTGAGAAATGGGCGGCAAATTTTTAAATGGAAGGAAAAACTGTTGAGGAACTCTGATTGTTCTGATTCATGAACACTCTGAGATCAGCCTGATGTATCAGCTATTGTAGGAACGTGTTCGTGGTTTGTATTCTCTGGTGTCTCAGGTTGATGTTGGTCCGTTCTTCTTTTTTGGATACATTCTTTTTACCTGGGTCCGTTCTTTTATTTTGGATCCGTTCTTTTCGCAGGAGTCCTTTTTTCCCGGACAGAGCCAAATATTCTTCCAAACTTTCGATACTTTTTCTTCATGTATCTAGCCCCATTTTCGTGACACACATATTCTCATCATTTCTCTTTTCCAGAGGCTAAAAACATCACATTTATATGAGCAGAACATGCGTCGACGGGCAGAGAGCCGGAGTGTATGTGCGCACACCGATTACCTCTTCCTTGAAAGCGCCGCCCCTCCCTCTCGTCCCTTCATTCCAAATCTTGCTCCCTCAATTTGACTACTGCTTTTTCTTCTTCTTCTTCTTCATCTTCTTCTTCTGGTCTTTATATTTCAAAAATGGTCAACAATCGATCTGTAAGTAGTTATTACCATAAGTGTCTAGTCTAGAATGTACTTCAGCGCGAAGTGATTTCGATCCATGTGGGGCAAGCGGGAGTGCAAATGGGCAACGCCTGCTGGGAGTTGTACTGTCTTGAGCACGGAATTCAGCCTGATGGCATGATGAACGAGGAAGATAGTTTAGGTGCTTCTATCTTTCACAGATTTTGGTTATAGTTGACTACGCTCTAGTTCTCTTGAAATCATTCAGAATTGCACTTATTCCAGGAGTCGATGATGACTCATTCAACACGTTTTTCTCGGAAACGATGGCAGGAAAGCATGTGCCACGTGCTATAATGGTCGATTTGGAGCCGACCCCGATTGGTAAGAATGGAAGAGTGTTGTGCAATTATGTCTGCGCGCGCCTGAGAAAGCCCTTTGCTCTGGCGGTCCACCCAAAAATTGCGCATGCGGAAAACGATCATTGTCTCGGCTGATGCTCAATTTCGAATGGTGTCGATTATAAAGCTATTAGATGCAATTGAGGTTTGAGACCGGATATTCCATATGCTGTGCTTAGAGCAGAGTAGTGCATACGTTGTGAGAGCCGGAAATGAGTGGTCTATCTCACACATTTCAGATGAGATTCGCACGGGAACTTATAAAACCTTGTTCCATCCTGAGCAGCTTCTCACTGGAAAGGAGGACGCTGCAAATAACTATGCTAGAGGTCATTACACAATTGGAAAGGAAATCATCGATGTCGTTATGGACCGTGTTCGAAGACTTGTGGAGAACTGCAGAGGTCTTCAGGTATTAACGCAAACTAAAATTGACACATAATTTAAGAACTATTATTCTTAGGGATTTCTCGTGTTCCATTCTTTCGGTGGCGGAACTGGAAGTGGATTCACCGCCTTGTTGATGGAACGTCTTTCGGTTGACTACGGAAAGAAAAGCAAGTTGGAATTCTGCGTCTATCCAGCTCCACAAGTATCTACTTCTATGGTGGAGCCATACAACTCCATCCTCACCACTCATACAACCTTGGAACATTCGGATTGCTCGTTCATGGTTGACAATGAAGCAATATATGACATTTGTAGACGAAATCTGGATTTAGCTCGGCCGACTTACACTAATCTCAACAGATTGATTGCCCAGGCAACAAATTCCACCAAAATGAATCAAAACAGAACATTTACTTCAGGTTATCAGCTCTGTGACTGCTTCTCTCCGCTTCGACGGTGCTCTCAACGTTGATCTCACCGAGTTCCAAACAAACTTGGTCCCGTACCCAAGAATTCACTTCCCGCTCACTACTTACGCTCCGATTATTTCTGCTGAGAAAGCGTATCACGAGCAAATGACCGTGAGATAGATAAAAACCATTTTTGCTGACTGGACATTTCTTTAGGTTGCTGAAATAACGCAGCAATGCTTTGAACCAGGGGCGCAGATGGTGAAATGTGACCCGAGAAGAGGAAAATACATGGTAATCAGGTTAACTTTGGCCCAGTCACATTTATCAGTTGTCAGGCGTGTTGTCTCCTGTTCCGCGGTGATGTCGTTCCGAAAGATGTGAATGCTGCCATCGCCTCCGTCAAGACAAAACGTTCGATTCAATTTGTCGACTGGTGTCCAACTGGATTCAAGGTTACCTTCATCATCTTCACTCTCAGCCACAAATCACACTTTCGCAGGTCGGCATTAACTATCAGCCGCCAACTGTGGTCCCCGGCGCGGACCTCTCAAAGTTGCAACGCGCTGTGTGCATGCTCTCCAACACGACGGCGATTGCTGAGGCATGGGCGCGGCTCGATCACAAGTTTGATTTGATGTACGCAAAGAGAGCATTTGTTCACTGGTTAGTCATTGACATGTGGGAATTTGAAAATTGGAAAATCAAAGATTTAGGTATGTTGGAGAAGGAATGGAGGAAGGAGAGTTCAGTGAGGCAAGAGAGGACTTGGCGGCGTTGGAGAAGGACTACGAGGAAGTTGGAGTGGATGCTGGAGGACCTGACGAAGAGGACGAATATAGTCAATACTGACTGCGATAACCATGCTAGAAATGTAGTCGCCCACGCACATTCTCACCATATTCTGTCCGTTATTTGAGAAATGCAAACTGATTCTGCAAAACAATATAAACAAACAGTGTCTGTTTGTTCAGTGGCTACAATCAATCGTTTCACATTCTCTTTACAAACTATTCTACTTCTCTTGTTCATCACAGAAGTCATAAATTTAAGTTTCCTTCAAAATTAACGCTATAAACATCACAAATTATCAGTTTTCTGTGATGTTCTGCGCAGAATCATCTTATGCAAGTGATGACGGTGCTACAAAACACTGATAACACACAGTTTCGTCACCATCATTTCTTGCCTTTCCCTTCAGTTGTATTAGCTGTAGTTTTAGTAGTTGTCTCTTTGATTTCTATTAGATCGCATTATTTTTTCTGTTCTTTTTCTTGATCCTCGGCAATTGCAATATTGTGTATTCTGCTCTCGAAGAGCACACTCAATCACAGGCCATCGTTGTAAAACAGATGCTCTCGATTGCCATCGGGTCGTGGCAATTAATCACGTCGAGCAGAATCTAGACCGGCTAAATTTCAAAATCAAGATAGATAATACTCCCTTCATCTGTTAGGTCCATTCAGTATTTGCCTGGAACCAATCATGAAACTCTACTTTGTACTCTTCCTATTCTGCTTTTTAGCTACTATGTCGGAGGCCGCTTCTCAAATCCCAGAAAAGTTCTTTGGGAGGTACGAAATTGATAGAAGCGAGAATTTTGACGAGTTCCTGGCTGCCAAAGGTAACAAAATCTCGAGAAATGAGAAAATTTGTATGTATAGGAGTGAGCTGGTTCGTCAGACAAATGATCAAGCTGGCCAAGATTACCAAAGTGATCGGCAAAAACACCAGTCCTGGAAAGTACGCTCTTCTAGAAGTTTTTGAAATATTTGCTAGCCTTTCAGGTACGACATGGAAAACCTGACCTCGAAGAAGAACACTTTGTACCACGGATGGGAGCTCGGAAAAACCTTCGAAGCAGAGGGACTTGATGGTGTTCCACACAAGGTATTCTAAACCCACTGAATTTGCTCTGAATTTACTTTTTTTAGATCACATTCTCGTTCAAGGACGGAGTTCTCTCGGAGCATCACATCCGTCTCAACGACCCAGAGCACAGTGCCGAGACCTACTTCTACACTATTGAGGACGACCAACTTGTGATGGTTAGTACTTAGTACTTTTCTCCCTGTTTTTCCCGTTTGATTTATTGTTCCTTTCAGAAAATGGTCAACAATGGAATCACGTGCCGCCGTTGGTTCAAGCGATCCAAGAAATAAGATGATAAACACATGGCTCAAATGTTCCAGATGTTCTTCATTTCAAAGATTTTGTTTATAAAGATTTTTTCGCTTTTCAATAAACACGTGTCGCACATTTGTTGAAATTTCAATTTTTCTTCTCATTTCCCATCTAGTTGAACACGTCAAACGGGATCAAACATTGCCTTGAAGGAGAACCGATTAGTCAGGGGTTCAAAGAAGAGAAGGGTTGAATGTAGCCCGACACCAAGCGGACCAAGGTTCACATTGTCGAAGGACCAGAGATAACATCTTGCACACATCACTATCTTTTGGGAAGATGAATAAACAATGATTTATTATCGGTGGTAATTGTTGGTTGAGCATTTTTGACGTCATATGTCTTCCCACAATGCAAGCCAAGCGCTCTTAAATTATGATGATGTGGGTCTTAATGAGAGTGCTAAAATCGCATCGAGTGATAATCCTCTGGAAGAATGTGTCCAAAGGATGTGGCTCCCTTTTGACTTGTCCAGTGAAAACTTTATCTATTTCTTCCTCGTAAACTAACAAAAACGTAATTTTTTCAATTGCATTCCTTGAGCCGCTTCGGGGTCAAGCCACTTTCACAATCGGATGTGCATCACCCCATCACACAACACAAGAAATCACCAGCCATTCCTATCTCTTCCCATACTCTTCCCCCCTGCCCGAGTTCAGCCGTACATCGTCGTGCTAATCGCGATCCAATCGACAAAGACATGTGGGCTGCACTTGCCGCCGTCAGAGATCGACGTGTTTACCACTGTGCATGTGGGCGGAGCCTCCGTCGACGTCGACTTGCGGCCAACAGTCCGCCCAGACGTCAGTCATTTACCAATCGACCCCACCGATCATGTGTGCCAAGATCGCTCTTGCCCTCGTCCTTATTGGAGTTGCTACCACTGCCGCTGCCACTCTGCCGGACAAGTACTACGGAACCTTCGATTTGGATCACTCCGAGAATTTTGATGAGTACCTCACTGCCAAGGGATACGGATGGTTCACTCGTAAGCTCGTCACTTTCGCCACATTCAAGAAGGTGTTCACCAAGAATGAAATCAAGAACAAGTTCGATTACTCCAACCTGACCTCGAAAAAGGACGTCCACTACAAGAACATTGAGCTTGGAAAACCATTCGAAGGAGAAGGACTTGACAGCACCAAGCACGAGGTTTGATTGTTTTGAGGTGTTCAAAAGAGACACGTGTTTCTTTTTTCAGATCACTTTCACCCTCAAGGACGGTCATCTCTTTGAGCATCACAAGCCACTCGAGAAGTCAGGAGATGCCAAGGAAGAGACCTACGAGTACCTGTTCGATGGAGAGTTCCTTCTTGTGGTAAGAATCCAAAATAATCTCACAACATCTTGAAACCAAAATAATTTTCAGCGCATGAGCTTCAACGGAGTTGAGGGACGCAGATACTACAAGAGACTTCCATAAACGATATCTTATTCCAATTACAAGTGCTTTATACGTCAAATTGTCTTGTTTTCTTTCCGAAAGTGCCAATTAATACATTTTGATTACGCTTAATAAAACTAAATGTACAAAGAACATGTATTTTCGACCCTTTTCTTCTCCTTTTTTCCGTCTCTCACATTCAATGATGATGAAAGTATACTTGCAAGATGTGTGATCGCAGCAGAACAATGCCCACCAGACGATGAAATTGTTCAATGAGCTCAACAGAGCACTCCCTCCATTTCCAGTACGGGTCTGTCAGAATCGGCTGATGTGAAATATGTGCCCTAAGTCATGCTTGCCGTTTCAAATCTCTAATTCTCGGCACATTTGCGCTAATGAGCTGTACGAAAGTGGAAAAGGAAAGCAAAGTGTGCGTTGTCGATGTCGATGTCGAGCAGTTTTCTGTCATCATAAATGAGCCATTTATACACTTGCAAACCTCTGGTGTAAATGGACAATTTCTCTTTTCTCATCTTGTCGAAGATTAGCTCTACTTTGTGCCGTGCTGCTCAACGATTTTCACCCCCTTTTGCTCTCATGTCTTCTAGTTGCCCTCTTTGTCGCTCGGCACAATCGTTTTGGCTCCCTAAAACTACATAATCCGGCAATGCATAGCTGACGTATTCCGTGTACAAGTTACTGCCACAAGGATACGTTTTCCTATTTTGCAAATGTTCCGTTTGACGTCATCACTGCTTTCTCAAGCCACATTCTCAAAAACGCTAAGAATGACCTTAAACGTATTCTTACCTGTGAACTCTCCGCTCCTAGAAGTTCTGATCAAGCACAGGAATAGTCTCCCCTAACTGGTTTCACAAAGAAAAGCCTCCTAACTTTCCATTCTGGTCGATTTCGACCTCTTCTGATTCGACTGTGCAGTGTCGTGTGATTAAACGAATTGGAATGCCACGACAACATCCCTCCGGATACATTATCTCGGTCTCTTGTACCTTGTGTGCGTCAGAGGAGGAAAAATATTTAGTTGTTACCGTATATTTTGTGTCTGAGGCCAATAGTCCAAACACCAGATATTGCGTTCGGATTTTGAGATTGGTTGATTCGGCATAGACCTACCTCATCCATTCTAGAAACTGACTACTTTTTGATCAAGAGAAACCATTAATAGTTTTTATCACATCCTGAATTGGTCTGTCGCGTGGGTGAAGGTATTTTTGCTCTCTGGCCTTCTCTTCTAGACTTTTCCAATGAAACCGGCGTGTCAATGCGACCCTTTCTCACACAGAATGACAAGGCTCAAGCAGAAGTCATTGCAAGCTCATAAAAGGAGACATGTGAGATAGTAGTTGCTGTTTCAGCCTTTTTTTTCCTGCCCATTGTTTTTCTCTTCCACACTCTCAGTACGTCTTCATTATTACCTGAAAGGGCGGGGACGGAGGTGGGATCGAGGGCGCTACAAACGCACATCAGTTCCTTTCCGTTCTCACTCATTCATTCATTGAATAGACATATTTTTTCCGCTTCAACTGTTACCAACAATTATACTCTTTGCCTTTATAGGGTAATTATGAACATCAGTAACTCGTCACAAACAAGTGGATCTGAAAGCCCTGAATTGACCTGGGGAGAGCTGTTAACAATTATTGGAGAAAGTATTGTTATTGCTCTATCTGTGACTTCTATCCTTGCCACGTACTTATTCAACATTGTGAACACATACGCAAAACGATTGCAACGTGTCAACTTGGGATCTATTGCATTTACAACTATTGTTCTGATCGTCCGTAACGCATTCGTCAAGGTAGGTGAAAGATAGTTAGATCCTGTTGAACTTTGGGTTCCAGCAGCATTACCGATCTCTTGCTCACTGGTTCACTTATGTCACCAACTGGCTCTTCATCTTCATGTCTATCATCGATTTTTTCTCTGTTATGGCCGGAGTTACGGTGGTCTTCCTGTTAATTGCAATCAATTGCCCGAAAGTGAACAAAGTCTGGTTCGTCTGGTTCATCCTCGCCTGCATCATTTCTGCCATCATTACTGTTGGCACAATCGAGTTCGCTCCGTCCGAAGAGAGCTTGGAATCAAACCACCATTCTTCGACTTGGCAAAAAATTATGTACGCTATCATTACGGCGGCAGTCGGACTCTCAGCTTTCGGTTGCTGGGCAATCGCGAAATTTGCCGAAGACGTTCTGGTAAGTGATGATTAGAAAAACTGAATCAAAGTTCATATTCTAGAAACTAGAAATGGAGAAAGAAGGAGATAAATACGTGCGTTTGCGGTTCTGTTTTGACAACATTAAGGCAGTTGCACACCAAGCCCAGTGGTGCTCGCTGGGCAAAACCGTTTTAATTTGCATCATGATCGGTGTCCAACAGGATCGAGGATCGTGGCATCTTTTTGTTCTCTTCGGCTACTTTGTGTCTACCTTCCTCTCGTTCTTTTCCCACAAAGATGCTCGCATCCACTTCCGAAAGCTTCTCGAGCGCTGCAAGCTTTGCCGACGGTGCATCAAGACTCCACGGGACTCACAGTACGCTAACCAGCTCATTATAATCTTCTACCGATTTTTTTTCAGATATGAAGTTGAGGAAGGTGTTCCACCAGAAGACTACAACGATATGATGGCAAGGACCTGGGAGGAGGCATACGATAGGAAGCAGAAGGACCAAGAGCATGACCGCATTTCCCTTTTCTCCAATGAACCTCTACAGAGCGAAAACCGCACCAATTTCCTGGCCAAGTTTTTGAAGGCTAAAGCGGTCTTTGACAACCTTAACCTCCTGATCCAACGCAATAAGCGACGTACTCGCGTGAACCCTGCCACCCATACTAACTTGTTCGTTGTCCAGCCAAGTCCCAATGCCACGCTTACCACTATCTGTTAACTCGTTTCGATTCTTTCTTTCCTTTTCTTCATGAGAGGTCTTGTTTACCCGTTTCTTCTGTCCAGATTATGTGTAACAAACAATAATCAAGAAAAAGTATATTCATTGAAGAATACAATATTGATATCGAATGTAGTAGCTGAAACGTCACAATCGTTTCATTTATTTTCTGACTGACAATTGTGTGTCTCTTTTATTTGATAGAACCAGTACATTGAAATGTGGAATGATTAGATGATGAATAAACCAGTTATTGAATTGCAAAGAGGTTCAGGTCTTGCTCGGTTCGGGACTAAGAAAAGATTTGTCATTGACCCTCAAATCGACAAGTTTAGGCGAGCTCAATCGCTGTGAGGCACTCCAGACTTCGCACTGTCGGTTCTTGCATTTCCGTAGGTTTCGCAGCTGCTCACTGAGCTGCTCGAGCACGTCAATCTCGAGCGAGTATACCGCATTTATCAACTGGAAAAAATTGGCTTTGCGAGACAACGAAGGGTCGCATCGCATCTATCAAATAATGCTCGGGCGACATAGAAAAGAATGAGAAGAGATCGACAAGTGAAATTGATGTGGCATTGAGCAACTGCTCCGCATATATACCTGCTCTGGGTCGGCGTTGAAATCGTAAAAACTGATGAACTCCGTGACGAATTCACAGTACAAAAAGTTATGCGTTTCGTTTTTGGTCCTCAAGCACCAATATGTGTTGCTGAAAACTTCAGGTGATGCAAGAAAAAGAGAACAAATGCTATGCGCTTACTTATTGCAATTTTGGCAGAAACAGAACTCGCCGAGCTCTTCGGGCCACAGCGGTGGGGTCTTCCAATGGGACGATGTGTGGGTGAAGCAGTTCATTTGCGGAAGTGAACAGTCTTTTGGCTTTAGTGAGCCATTTTGTCTGCAAGATTTCAAGGTTTTCAATTTGCATTTGACACTCACGGTTTCTTCTTGTATTTCAAGTAGTGCCGCTTCTTTGAACTGCGCATTTCCAGTTTTTTTCTGAATCAAACTTCTAAGAAAAGCAAAACTAATTTTGACCTACATCGGATGAGTTGCATTCCTATTACAGTTGCATTTACCGAGAATTCCTCTCTTTGCCCTTCGGAAGTGATAAGTTTCTTCCTTCATTTCATCTTCAAAATCTCCTTGATACCAATCATTTTCCTCAGCAAAGGCTTCCTCGTCTGCCTGCATCAAAAACATGTCAACGTTATCCAATTCGTCATTCAGTGCATTTCTCTTCCTTCTACACGGACACTGATCATTCCAGTTGTCTCTACATTTGTAGATTCGCCAACGATCTTCAACTGTGTAGTAGCACTTCCAGAGCTGAACTTGCAATATAACTATTTCAAAAACAAAATGATAAATACTTGTCCCTCCACACAATCGCGTTGCCACTTTCTCCGTTTGCACTCTTTTGAAAGGCGATTTTCTTTGTTAAACTTCTTCTTTTGTCTCATCCACCTATCTCGGATTTTCTTCAGTTTGGGCATTTTACTGAATACACAATTTCTGAGGATCATGCCTTCTCTCGAACTCACCCTCTCTCAATTAAAACCGTTTCCCGCCAAGGTTTCAATGAGAACGCGTGTTTTTTCCGCTTTTTCAAAGCGAACAACTCCAGCAAACTGCGTCCATTCATTCTCGCAGGTTTCGTGACTCCAGCAATATTCAACAACGTGGGAGCAATGTCTACATTCGTCACAATCTCGTGAAAACTGAAACATTTCCCAGTCTATGTGAATTTTTGACGTCACAAACGTTGCATTCCGTGGAATTCCGGGCCCTCGCATGAAGAAAGGGACTCGGATGTCGAACTCATACGGCATGTTCTTTCCTTTTAGCAGTCCGAACTGGCCCAGATGGTATCCGTGGTCAGAGGTGTAAATCGCATAAGTGTTCCATAATTGGTTGAGTTCTCGTAGAAGATTGAACAACTGTAACAATGAGATGAACACACGAAAAGATAATACGAATACTCACCCGTGCAACCCCTTCATCAACACTTTGAAGTGTCTGCAGCCGTCTTCGATGCAGCAAATCCGTGAATGCAATGTGCACATTGTTCATTTTTCCTGTCCTTTGGAGCAACCATTGTTTGTCCGGATTCGGAGCAAAGTTCCAGCTTCCTGTCCTGAAAAAGGTCGTTGCAATAAGCAAGATGTGCCGAAAGCACCCACCTGTGACTGAATTCATTTCCAAAAAGATTCGAAAACTGAGGCGCAGGATCTTCTGGCCCGTGAGGAGCTGGGTACGAAATAATCAGAGCGAATGGCTGCCATGCTCTTGTTTTTATGTGCTTATCAATGAAGGCAAGTGAACGATTGGTTACCAAATCCGTAAAATAATCCTAAAAAACTAGTTAAAAGTTTAAGAAACTGCTAACGAGCTGGTAACCTTTTCGTATTCGTTCCCAAACCTCTCTCGTTCTCCGTTTGAGTTCATTGTGTAATTATAAAATTTGCTATTCTTCACAATCGCATGCCATTCGTCCCATCCAGGTGGTATGTATGACCTGAAAACATAGAAAACTTAAAAATTCTCTGTTTGTAATCGTTTCACCCGTCATATTCATTGAGGTACTTCCCCAAATACGCCGTCCGATATCCAGCTTCTTGCAGATAAACTCCAATAGTCTTCTTTTCGTGCACTTTTCTGAATATTTCGTTACTGACAGTGAAGACATCCTCCTCGTACCTCCATTCAACGCCCGTGCAGTTTTGATTGTTCGTGTGAACATGGTGATTGTGGACGTATAATCCGGTCAGAATACTCGATCGACTGGGACAACAAATAGGAGTCGTGACGTACCTAAAACATCACATTTTCTCTGGAAAACGTTAGTAAAGTGTACCCTGAAGTAAATTCTGTTCCACGCTCTTTCATAATACTCAACGTCTTTGGCATGAAGTTCATAGAACCCAGCTCGATATCCTGATCGTCAGTCAAAATAAGAATAACATTGTGTTGGCTAAATGATATGATTTCAAATAAAATTAAACACTGAAAAGCTTCAATAACTTACGAGTCTATGAAGTTAGTTGAACTTGATAATGAGAAAAAAGCAAACAGGACGAGTAAAATTGGACTCATTAATGAACTAGAAAAGCAGGACAATGCAAAGGCGCTCGATGAGTGTCATCAAATGAAGTGCCAATCTGGAACGATTCGAGTAGGTGTGAGAGAACAAGTGGAGTGGTTCGGAGCAACGACGTGCGAGGCAACCACTGGGCCCGCAATTATTACACTCGCCTCCTTCGACACACTCTCATTTGCCACCAATCAAAAGGGTAACACCGCGGACAGCTTCTTTTCTGACGCATCGCTCTCGTGATTCTTAGTCCAACAATTTGAGTACATTTCAAACTGTTAGTCGCTTTCATTTTCAGAAAAACAAAATAAACATATTATCGGGCCAGTAATCATAGAAGATTCGAGAACCATTTTGACAGGAAACTAATAACAGTGTTAATGAGAAAGACTACAAAAGATTATGATCTCACAATTTCCTTGGTTGGAATAGTCTAATTATAAACTATGTAACAGCGGAAATAAGCTGAATAACAACTAAAACATCATCGACAAGCACAGAGTTCAGTAAAACAACCACGTAATCGTAAACTGATTCAGGATCTGAATTTCTTAGAAGTTGGCGAATCTGGAGCATTCTTTCGGTCGTGCATATCGTTCTTCTCGCCGTTTCCCTCTTTGTTCCCTGTGAAATATTCTTTTTCTTCGTATGGAGAGACAATCTCATTGATAGCCGGAGAAACATCCGTACTACGTCTTGGAATGGCGACACGTCGTTTTATTTGTTGCGACGTCTGAGCACGAGTCGGTACGGTTGCAGCGTATGTTCTTGGATTGCGCAGCATAAGGTCAAAATCGGCAATTTTCGAGGGAATTTGAACTTTCTCGATTGCGGGATGCCGCAGTGGAACAACGGGACCTTTGTAATCCAACCGAGTGGGTTTAGTCTTCTGCTATTATGGACTTGATCAACAGGTTCATTTGAATCAACTCACGGGGAAAAGTTGTTCGGTAACCAAGACAACTGGCTCAATCGTTCCACAAGGTTCGCACGTGAGGTTGGTCATCAAATGACTCAGTTCCGCGCATGCTTGTGTGACATTTGCGGTCCCGGACATCTGAAAATAAAAATGTTAGGTTGATGAATAATTGCAATGTAAATGGATGTTTGATCTGTTGAAAAATACACTATGAGCACTTTATCCGTGCTGATAACTAGTGTTTTCCTCAAGAAGAGTTAGCGGAAAAAGAAGTAGAATGTGATTATTACTGACTACTAATTGTAGGCTTGGCGAGTATCTGGACGAAAGCGCGCGGGCCTTATTGATGATAATTCATAGTTTTCAACTCAAAAAGAAGCATAATTAGCTTACCTGGATGACGACGAAAACGTATTTTCTTGGAAGGAGAATGAGTGAGATGAACACTTTTCGGCCGGTTTTAAAGACATTTTCAATATTGCGGACACAGTTTTTACATTCTATTATGGTGAGATGGGTCATGCCTCTTTTGATTTTTGGTTTGTTCGTATTCGGATGACTCCATTTTCATGGCTTTGAGAACATTTTTCAAAAGTGGATCATTAGTCTCTACAAATTACATATTCTGATATCGTTGCTCAGAGGATTTCAAATATAGAATGGGGGGAGGGGGTGCACCGGGGGCAAGAACCTTCGTCGAACTACGTATAATGAGAGTGACTAGGGATAGGGGGCCATCATGTAGTTGCCCTTAGGGCAATCAACTGTTCCGGCAGGTGAATTGTCGAGGAACACCTCACTTCATATTTCTGATTTTCCGTTCATTTTATTCGGAAACTGCAATGGAAAAATAAAAAAATTCTGAATAGCAACTCTCGAGAAATTTCGTCAACGAGCAAAACGACAATTGCAATGAACCAAAAAAGAAGCTGTGTTTTACTTTGCGTTTATTCCAATTACGAGTTGATCACAAACTTTGACAGTGAATAAAAGATAAAGTGAGTGTGCGTGTGCTGATAACTTATGAAGTACAAAAAAAGCACTGATATAATAAGGATTTACCATGTTTGAAATAGGTTTTTACAAGGTGGGATAGATTGTGGTGTCAGAGCAAATAAAATCAGACAGGACATTTGTCGCCGTTCGATAGCTGAGGGGTCATTAAAATCAAATTTGTGCAGAGATTTTCTTTCTCTCTGTTGGATTAAAAAAGATTTCCAGTAATATTATAAATTTTGGGGGATAATAATACGATTTTCCATGTTCATACAGAAAATCCTACTTAGACTTAGTTTTTTTCACCGCGGCTCCTTTCTCCTTGAACGTGGAGCGTCTCTTCGTGAATTTGCGCTCTCTCCCGTTGCGGTGCTGAACGATGTCTTCGAAGTCACTGAGCACGTCCAAAAACTTGTCCGACGTGATCGTGTTCTCCTTTTTGTTCACGAAATAGCAGCTGGCCATTCGGCTAGTGCGATCATGTTGGAATTGGGCGATGTCGTCATTCGGGTAGCACCCATGCAGCTGCAACAATAGCGTGTTCAAGCAGAGAGGACAGAAAGCACGCCTACCACTCTTCCTTGCCATCTTTCCTGCGTCCGCAAACATTTGGTCATTTTGCACGCGTAGCACGGGTCCCCTGTTTTCCGCTCGCTCACGTACTTCCATGTGTCGGCAACTGAGAAATTGTGCTCGGGAAGATATCTGACTACCTGGAAAAATCACGTTATCACAATTGTTCTTACCGAGCGACGTGACTTAATTCAAAACTAAGGAGGGAATGACTCGAGGAAAAACGAGAAAGTTTTCAATGTGCGCCTGACTGCCACATACAATTTTTTTAAATGTCGTAAGAGGAACATGTGTTGACACACTTTTCTTCTTACCTCCACAAACTGCTTGTTGGTGCTTTTGTTTCGCAACATCTCCAGATCCTCCGTATCGACTTGCTGATTGAACTCCACGGGGTTCGTTGTGCTTTCCGGATGATGATTATACAGTTCTCCCTTCCTGCTCACTTTCTCGTAAGTGACTGGGGTCTCTCTGTCCGGGCTGTTATTATAGAAGTCCATTTTGTCTATTTTGAGAAGCGGCGGAATATCAGCTACAGCAGCTTCGAGTTCATCACCAGATTTCACTTCAGAACGTCCTTTAAGAAATTCACGCACCGGCAGAGCTTCGTCGTCACTGTCGGCGGACATTCTAAACAAAATAAGAGCGAAAAATTAAGAAAGGTGAAGCGATAGAAAAAAACGGAAATTAGAGGACTAACAGAGTGGATGGAAAAGGAGAGATTCGGTGTTTCCTAATATTTCTTTCAACAAAGTGTGAAATCGATCGATGTGAGACGTTTGAAGCAACAAAAACCGAGCAAATGTTGCTATTTTGACGCGTAAAGCCATCAGCATATGGGACAGAAAAGAGTTATACTCTGGTTTATCGCCATGGCCGCGATGTTTCCTCTCCGTTTGACGACACACACACATGCGCATACGGACAGTGAGATACGATACAGGCGGCCAAGAAGAAAGCTGCGGCCGAGCGACACGGACACAGAATCGAACAACATGAGCCGGCGTGTTGAGCGGGGCAGCCAGCACGCAGACGAGGCGCCCAAAAAAGAGAGACGCGTGGTGTACAGGGCCCAAGTGCATTGCATCTGGAGAGTGAGGGATAGACAGGAGAAGGAGAAGAAGAGTTGAGATAGAGTGCACTGCGACGGCCAGCAGTCAATTCAGCCCCATGTCGCGGCGGCGGCGGAGACGGCGGTTAGACTTCTCTTACTCAGACGTGGCTCTCTTGGTCCGTGAGCGGAGTTGTTTTGCAAAACATCCCTTACGCGACGTTTTCGTAAAATTACATGCTAGAGTTGAGCAGAAAAAGTGCACTGCAGCGAGGATAAAAAGAGGAGAATAGTCGAATGTGTCCCGTTTCCTATTAAAATTATAGTGCTTTTTAAATCACGTGTTGTTGCGCTTGCTTTTTTCTACTTTCCGCTGCATTCCCTGTTTGCATCATCCATTTGATCGATGTGACATTTCTCTACTGCCCTTAAGACAGAAGAAAAACTGTGATGCACATACGCAAGAGGAGAGAAAACATTAGAAAGGAGAAAGTTACCGGAGTACACTAAGCAATGCAAATTGTGAGTAATCGGTACAGAAGTTGCCACAGCAATTCAAATTACGTTTTATGGTTGTTATTATGTAGACAGGTGGAAAAATGTTGTCAAGGCAGAAGCTATCGAAGCGACGGAATTCCGCTGTTGGACACATCGGTAAGCAATTGAAATGAGATTAACACAAGCAGAATGGAATAGAAAACGAAATCAGAACATTTCATCAGGACATAAGAAGCCAAACATTAGAGGGATTGAATACAACTACATTTAATCTTGGTCAGGGCTCGTGATTTCTCCGCCACTTCCGTCATTCGTTCCTTTTTTTGGCACATATCAATTTCTTGAAACGAACCGAGAAAAATGCCGTCTAGGCTTGACCGTCACGCCTCGATGCCAATCTTCAAAAAATGCCGTCTACGAGTCCATGCCACAAAAAAGGAAAGGACACTCCTGCAATCTAGTCACTGGCTGTAGTGCTTGTTCCAGGTAGTCTAGTGGGTACAATTGAGTGAAAACTGAATGAATATGACCAAGGGAAGATGTTGAGACAGTTGGATTAACCTAGCAACCTGTCACAGTCGCGGTAACTAGTAGATTCCGTCTTTCCATTACAACGTGTTTTGCCCAAGTTGGATATGGTACTGCAGCAAAGTTGGAAGAAGGCATTCATTTATTCAGTAGATCAACATTTGCTTCAACTAAACAGAATAGTTCCTAAGGCTTGTTCATTGATATTCTCAGTTCTAGCCTACACTTTTTCCATTTGTCTGATTTTGATTTATTCAGAGAGTAGCGAACCCTATTAAAAAAAACAAGTCTCACGGATGGGAACAGAGCTCAGCGAACCGTATGTTTGATAATCTTTTATAGAATATATACCGGAGATTCGCGGAATCCGCAATCCGCATTCGCGAAGAAAATTTTCATTTCTGCCGATCTCCGGATAGACCTGACCACAAAACACGACATGACAGTATTTAGTTCCGGTTCAGCTTAGTGATCTGAAAACCTGAAAACTCAACATCAAAGCAGCACTTGGAACAAATGTATCGGAAATTTCATCGAGAAATCTTTTTCGTTGTCTCCCCCTTTGGTTTCCCACAACACCCTTCCATTTCAATTAGAGAACAGCAAACGCGGAGGGTAATCTTTTCCATTCTGTCTCCTAGGCAACATTGTCACGGGCTCTTTTACTCGATACAAACGCTTTCTATCTTCTTGTCGCGCTCCGATTTTCTTTCAAAGCACGCTATCACACGTTGGGATTGAGTCAGAACCATTGAAATTTGGAAGTTTTTTCGCTGTTCAGCCCTACTACATCTGCATCAAACGCAACATTGGCATTCCCATCAAGGAAGTGAGTTTTAGCTTCAGAACACTGTGGATTTTCAAATATTCCCGTCTCTCCTCACGTGTCCCGTTCCTAATTGCATTACTTTCCGAATAGCGGGCCGCTTTCATAATTTGTCTACGTAATTTTCACGCTGATTTCTTTGTCTGCCTCTTTCGACAAACATGCAATCTGAAGGCCGCGGTCATGTGTCGCTCACCCTTTTCTCTCACGATCAGGCGCCACGAACAGACGTTCGCGTGGCGTGTTTTTTGCCTAGATGCGGCTGAGAAGCAGGTGCACCGTCCCCAAAAGGGCAGGCTCGGTCAGCACAAACGAATGCTGAGAGAGAGAGAGAGAAGCAGACGGATAGACGGACAGACAGACATACCAGACGCTCACAGTCTTGTTTTCCAAATTGGCAGAAGTGTCTGGACATTTTTGGCGGTTATTTCGACCTTACGTGGATGAACAGCATAATAGAAAATTTGCATGAGCCGTAGAATTCACTTCATCCACATCTACTATTTCAACAAAATGTGTTCTCTTTTCATAGGGCCCTTCCAAATAAAATTCGCATTTTGGGCACTCTTTCGGCGTCTCCGTTTTCTTTTTTTTCCTTTCTCTTTGCACTCGAACCCATTCATTTCCTTAGGCGTAAACCAATGAGAAACTGCCAATTCGTGCTCCTTTTTTCTGAATTTCTTTATTCGTTTTTTGAGATGGAAAGGCGGCAATACTTATTTGAGAAGACAAACCCCGTCCAGTATTAGCTCATTTATGCTCATTATACTTGTGAGTGTTTTTGTGTCGGCACATTCGATACTTTTTTTCATCTCTCAAACTATCCTGTGCGCACACTTTTTATTTCCGACCTCTTCCTCTCTCAATTGTTTATAAATTCTTGCATAAAAACCAGCGAGCTCATCGCGTAGTTCTTGCTTTCGACCGCCTCGTCCTCTTCCCCCACTCTCCCTTGTTTTTCCTCTCACCTTCTCGTGTTGGCCGACGGTCCGCGCTTGCAGCAAACCAGAGTTGCCCGAAATAAAGAGACGCTTTCCTCAATTCGTGCCGGCGACAGCCACCTCTCAGCTCGCCCTGCTGAAAAGGGCTCAGCAAGGAAACATCGATTGTAAGAAGCTCTCCTGGCGGTGTTCTGCTCTGGCCGCCTCTGCTCTCAAAGCGCACTTGGAAAATGTGTGTTTTTCTCTTTTTCGCAGGGTGCATCCCTTGTTAGCCATTCTAACTTTTCCACGCAAAATCATCGAACAACCCCGGCGGAATGACGCCTTGCTTTTTTCTTTCGTCTTCTCTTCTAACAAAAAATTTTACGCGTTCATCGAATACGTTTTAGGTAGAATGCACCATAGTAAGAGACAGTACCGAAGAGTCTCTTCTTATCTAAACGATGCCAGAAACAAAGACATCGCAAGAACTCCCACCAAAAAACGAGGTTTGTTAATGAAGTAAGATAATATTTCATGATTGTGATTTAGATGAACAGCCAAAAAGGATGGTACCACTTCCGCCAGAGCAACAGTTCTGCAACCGAATCTACAAACGTAAAAACCTAGGAGCGGATCCTGAACATAAACCCATTGATATCGGTATGTCATTTCACACTACCAGTTTACCATTAATAAATTCAATCTTTTTTCAAGGCTCAATCCCGTGTCCTCCTGGTTCTCCTGGTGCTAAGTCCAAACATCACAAAAACAATCAAAATGTGTTGGAAGAACCGGAGGAAAGCGGCAAATTGACGGGACAGGATGACTCAGAAAATCTTCCAAATTCCCATGAAAAGACCCAAATGGAATCCCAGGTGCAAGAAAAGGACTGCTTCAAAAAAGAGGGAGAACGTGAGCGTTCACTGTAGCATCGTTCTTTTTGTTTAATTTTTTTTCTTCAGTTCGAGTTGACGAACACGTGAAACAAGTGAACCATAAAAAAAACAAACGTTCTTCCGAATCCCGCAGAGTGCGATCAAAAAGCCGTAAACGCCTTGAAAATGATAAAAGAGGTGTGTTTTTATCAGATTTGTTTCTGTGCACAGGGTGAACAAGTGATTGACCCAGTTTGTTAGTTTCATCTATTAATTTGCTAAAAGAACTCTAGTTTAACATTTCCAGAAAAAAATACTCCAAAAAGATCAAGATCCCGCTCTAAAGAGAGAAGACCTCATGAAAATTCTCGACAAAAAACCTATTCACAAAATTGGAATTGCAGGCCAGGTAGCGGTTCTCATTTTAATAACACCTTTTCTCGAATGCTCGGCTCACAATTTTCCAACACGCATTTTTTCATTCAGAAAGCAGCTCAAGGAGAAATAAGGGGGCAAGTCAGAAAGATGAAAGCCGCTCTCGCAGACGAAGAGATGACGAGAACATGGCGAAACGAGACGACGACCGGAGAAGGGAGAGCAGAAGTAGAAGCAAGGTTATCACGGAAATGCGAACGCTCCGCTGATGTTGGTTTGTTTCAGGACAACAGAAGCCACAAGCAACGCCGGAGAGGAAAATCGGCAGAAAGAGATAGAAGACGTCGGACGACATCTCCACAGGAAGAGAGCAGGAAAGGAAGTGGGCCCCAAAGAAATAACAACCGTGATGACCAGAGAAATAGGGACAGAGATAACAGCGACAGTCACAAAAGAAGCCGGAATTCTCGCAGCAAAGACAGACGCGAGAAATCGAATGAAATTCACCAAGTCGCGTCAGAAAAGCAATCGTCAGAAGGTATTGGCAAACGTTTAGATAATTCTTTTTAATGTATCTTTCTCAGACTTTGGGAGCAATAAAAAACCAAGAAGCAAACGCTGGGATGTGCAAGATGTGCGATGGAATGACGTGGCAAGTTATTTTTATCAGTTATGATCATAGTAGGACAGAATTTCATGGATAATCTCTTAAAAATGCATACATTCATCTTCCAAAAACATGAAAAAGTTTTTATGCAAAGTAATGCGGATTTGAGAGCACCAGACTCTTAGAATTTCTAACGTATCGCCAAAAACATCAACAACTGAAAATAATCACATGAGAAAGCTACTTGTGCACCTGCTCCTATTTCCATGTTTATGTATTTTCGTTTAGTATGTGGAAAGTCATTTGCTGGCTATTCCAACAAGCGCCAAAACCATTCAAAACACTGTTGAAACACTTCTGTTCCATCTGATTCGTTAATAATTCCATTATTTCAGGACGAGTCACCATTGCAAGAACCTTCTCCTTCATTATTCATTCAGAGTATGATGGCTTCGACCGCGAGTTATCCTATTGTCCGAAGCCAGCAGATATTGTCGCCGAAGAGCTCGGAGAAGCCGTATTTCGAAACGACAATGAAATCAAACGGCGGCGACAGAAACTTCACGGATGACGACGCATTGTCCGATGAAACTAAAGTTGAAGAGCTACATGAACTCTCAGAAGTGTGTGCGGTTTCTGCGAGAATCGGCGATGAGCAGCCAAATGGAGAAGCTCAAGGAAATGTTGAGAACGGACTGCCAGAAGGCAATAAGCAGTCAAAGAATGAACCCAAGCCGTCGTCGACACGCGAGTATTCAGCTCCATTTAATCCAGAAAAAAAAGAAGATTTCCAATACATCTTTTCCGCGGATGTGGCCGTCAACTCGCCGGAACAAACCGAAACGTTCAACCTGATTCCGTCTGGTCGAGACATTTCTGAGGTATATTAGTTTTGCCTGACACAACGATACTGATAGTTTTAGAAATCTTCATCGCACGAGCCTATTTCGCCAGGTGTTGCTCCAAATTTTGACTCGACCAAATGTGCTGTGAAAACCAATCAGTTCAATGCATCATCCGATACATCAAAAAGTTGCAATCAACACGAATTCACCGCGATTCCGGCAGAAATTAATGATAAGCAACCGGATGGAGAAACGCCATCTGCGTCATGTAGCAAAGCTGCTTTCGAATTGAAAAACATCCAGAACGATTCTGAAACAAACGGACGCTTTTCTGACATTCCTCAACAAGAAAGTGAACCTGAACACACGAATGGAAACACGTTGAAATCGGTCGTCAACCTGCCAGAACGCGCTGAAACTGAAGAAATCATCAGCGAAAATTCGGGTGAAATGAACATTCTGGACAAAATTGACTCTCCTCGGGCCGGTCATGGCATCTCTGAGGTACACTCACTTCATCTGCAATCCTTAGAAATTCAATTTTCAGAATTCTCGCTTGCAGAGCCCTGTTCTTCCCAGTGATGCCACCAATTTTGAACCGACTGAGTCTGAAGCACCTGTGATTCCAGGTGAAGTCGACAATAAGCAGCCGAATGGAGAGACCTCTCCGACAGCGAATAAAGAGTTGCACAATGGTCTTGGATCGGCTAGAGCAGATTCAGTTGATGTGGATCGTCCAATTGAAGAAGACGCTTTGAAACACGACGTTGCTTCGACAGAAAGCGACGTCCAGCTCTCGTCGACACTGGAGTCGGACCCGATGACTTCTGAAGCGGATACACTGTTGGCTGCTGACAAACTTGGTGATGATGAAGATCCTTACGTCAAAAATGGAGTCCACTCACTGGAACAAGCCAAGACAATCAACCAAGTCCAGAATGAGGCTGAAAGCCGTGAAGTGGATTTCCATGCTCAGGATGATGAAGATGTTACTGAGGTATACTCGATTTTTCAGACACAACAACACTGTAATTTTCAGAAATCACAACCACCAGGACCTCTCTTACCAAGTGTTGCTCTAAGTCTTGATGCGAATGAATCTGTCTCCCAAAATAAGGCAATTTCGCTGCCGGAGAGCTCAGAGAAACCGTCTTATGAAACTGTTATGGAATCTAATGGAATCAACAGATATTCCACAAACGAGGAATCATGCAATAAAATGGCAGTTGAGAAAAAAGATGGACTCTCCGGAGCGCCTGCAGTTCTTGATGAAAACGATGATGATGGGAAGGAATTGAACAATTCGATGTCGTCTGCAGTGCTTGAGCAAAAACATCCTCCAAAGAGAATGAACGGCGAAAACGATATAACTCCTGTGCAAGCATCGTCAACACCAGAGTCCTCAACTCCAATTGGCGATCAATCTGACTTTCCAATACTCCAACATGAGTCGACTAAATTCTCAGCGGGAGCCGAGCGAATGAAGGATGAACCACTCGAACCTCTGAAGGAGAAAAGCAAGTGTTCCAGTCAGAAACTGTACCCAACAACTGTTCATAAAGACCCTCAACCCGACAAACCGATCAACCTGGTCAAAGTTGAACGTCCCGCACCCTCCAATACGGACTGCTCGGACGGGGATCCAGGCATGGTTGCTGAGATGGGAAGTTCCGTTTCGCCGAGCTGTGCAATCTCTCCAGAAAGTGGACGCGGTTCGGAGCATAAAAACGCGGCCGCTAGTTTGTTTCCACAGCGAGAAGTCGCGACTGATGCTCCAGACGTCATTTATCTGGGGAAACGCAAGCGAGAAGGACCCTCAGCATTCAAGCTGTATAAAGATGTGAAGCGCCGTCGAGAAATACCACAGATTCCCAACGACGTCTGGCTTGAGTTTCCAACAACGCCTGCCGAGAAACATGTTCCTGTCGTCGACAAGCTTGATAGAAGTTTGTTTTTCCATTGATTCTCTGAATAAAGACTAGTTTCAGTGCCTTCGTTCGTTACCGATACGTTCGAGAAGCTCCGTAAGCTCGAGTCAACTCCATTCCGTTTTGGCTACACGCATTACGACGGTCTCGTTAGCTACCATCGTCCAATTGCAAGCACGGAGTCTTCGGTGCCAGGAACTTCGTCGCAGCGACATCTACTGCCCGAGATAGAAGAAAAATTGACCGGATTTTTCACAATTTGATCTCTGTTTTCCTCTCGGAACTCGCAATTTTGTCCAATATCACATATTTTTGTTCAATCATTTGATCATAATCACAAATTTGAAAAACATTATCCCAACCTGATTTATTTTGCAACCGATCTTTTTTTTCCGTTTGTTGTGTAGACGTCCATCTCACGAAAAAACGTCAAAACTTAATTGGCATTGCCAGAGTGAAGTTATTCGACAATTAAACTTAATCTTCATCTATTCCTGTGCGATTACCCCCGATTGTTGTCAAAAATAAATCGTTTTTGTCAAAATTCTCAATGGAGCGCACTTGCATTATTTCCTCCAACAGTGCACGGCCACTCCTCGCTCCGTACCATTTGCCCATTGCGTTGCCTATTGATTTTTGCTCGCAGCAATGTCTTTCCATTTGGATCGAACATACGGACTGAAAGCCGATTATTGGTATCATCCAGAGGTTTGTTTTGTCCTTTTCTCATCAGAAAATATCCAAATTCTCAGACGGACTTGTCGGAGACCGCTCAGAAACTGTTTTTCAAGTCGCTGCCAGACAATGAGACGCAGGATTTCCTCGACCGCTCCAACAACATTGCTACCAATTACTTCTGGCAGGTTGGTACACTCAATTTCTACCGGAAATAGACAATTTCTGCCGTTTCAGACTATCCGCAATTTGGGAGTAATGCTGCTCTCCACTATCTACTCAAAAACCGACATCAACGGAATGACTGGCTTCGGAAACATGTTCTTGTTCAGCGAACAGCAACTTGCCAAGTTTCTGAACATTGAGCAGGGCACTTGGTCTCCAGTTGACAAGAAAGTTCTCGATTTGGGTGCCGGAAATGGAGATATCACCGAGCACATGCGTCCATTCTTCCAAGATGTGTATGCGACGGAATTGTCGTCGGTTGGTGCCCGAAAGTTGTTATCCTTTTCAATAATCGATTCAGAAAATGAGAAAACGGCTCAGCTCCAAGGGATTTGCACTTGTTGATGCCGTCGAATGGGCGAACACTGATGTAAAGTTCGATCTGATCACCGCATTCAACCTTCTCGACAGGTAGAGTTAGAAAAGTCCAAAACACATCAGATTAGGACCTTAGAAAGTGTCTGTGAGCAATCTTTGACTAGGTGTTTTGAAAAACCAACTCACCGTTTCAATTTCACACTTTTCAGACATTACTCTCCGTCGAAGCTTCTCCAGGACCTCTGGAATGTGGCGCACCGCTCCAACTGCAACGTGATTGTCTCGCTCGTGCTTCCGGTCAGTCATTACGTCGAGTTTAACCCGAATGGAACCAGCACTCGTCCAGGTGAGCGATTTCGTCCGTCAGTTGGGTAATCGAGATAATATGGTTCAGAAAACTTCCTGAATGTTCAAGGACGCTTGTACGCCGACCACGTTCATCAGATGATCATCAATGTTTTCACGCCGGCTAATTTCGAAGTGGTCAGATGGACCAGATTGCCGTACCTCTGCGAGGGTGACATGAGATACGTAAGTACATGAAATTTAAAGGAAAGTAATTTTTTTCTCATGTATTGCAGCCTGCCTACTACCTTCCGGACGCAGTCTTCCTCCTGAAACCCGTGGAGCCTAAACCGACCACCGTCACTCCAAAAGCGACAGAAGAGAAAACTACTTCTCCACAAACTGCTTCCGCACCCACTCATTCTGATCTTTAGACCGATGATTCTTCAATCTTTAATTTTTTTACGTTTTTCCGCTCAGAATTGTACTTGGTGACTGGTTATTTATTACTTATCAAATGAAAAAAGCGATAGTGCAATATTAAAAAAGGAGAATTCGCTCGAAGAATATCAGAAAATTCGGGAACGAGAATTGTTGCGGCTGTTGGCTTTCGCTTGAGACAGTCGGGAATCGCGGGAATCATCACGAGTGCGTGTTCTGGAAGAACTTCTCGATCCGCTTCGGCCGTTGGTAGAGACTCTGGAATATGCAGTGTACGATGGGAAACTTGCACGAGAAGTCTTACGAAATCAGCGAACTTAGTGGAAACGAAAAGGTGAGAGGTTGAGAAAACAAGATGAGTTTTGGGTAGCAGTACTGGACGACGAATATTTAAATAATGGGGATGTGAAGGAGAGTGTTGCAGGGGATTCAGTGATTGATGCTCATCTTACTGATGCGGTTAGCCAGTGGGACTCTGAAACGGAACGGCAATGCACACCACACTAAGCATTCGGGTCCGTCTTCAACTTACGGTGTTTTCAGGCGTCGTTGGGTGGAAGAGGAAGAGGAAGAGGACGATTGTTGCTGAGCGTCTCGTTTGGCAGAACTGCTTCTCCTAAACAAACGCAAATAGGAAACATGAGATGGAATTAATCATTACTTGGCAGGAGTCATTGGTGGAAGGGACGGACGCATTCCCGCCGAGAGAGAAGTGTTTCTAGAAGCATTTTGAGCCGTTGTCAGATTAGACCTCGTGTCGAGAGACCTGAAAAAGCCGCTAATTTCACATCAACAAGGTTGCCCTTACTTTCGCCGATTGGACAATTCATTGAAATCCTCATTACGAGCCCTCGACAAACTTCCATCCCTTCCTTTTGTGGTCGGTTTACGTTCCGCCGACCCATTCCTACTTGACGGATCTTGTTTTCTCCCCTGAAAAGTGTTTGAATAGCAAGGAATTCGGAATTGATGCACCTCATGCTTAGATGGAAGGCTTCTGTAGTTTGTGGCGAGACCTCGAGAGCCGGCCGACGATTTGAGATTGCCCGTTTGTTTTCTGGCTGCTTGTTCTCTGAAATGCATGATAATTTCCCTCAGCCCCTCATTAATCAAGCACCTGCAGAACGGAATGTGTCTCTCAGCGGCCGCCGAGTTGAAGTTCCGATTGCAGTACTCGCACTGCACGTAGTCTGGAAATGAACTCTGAATTCAGAAGACAAAAGACAGCATTGAACCAAGTTAACAGAGAGAGAGAGAGAGAGAGAGAGAGAGAGAGAGAGAGAGAGAGAGAGAGAGAGAGTCTAAGGAACCGCGATTAGTGCATTGGAAGTGTCCGTAATTGCGCGCGCAATATGCGTACGCTCCACTGCATCGTGCTACCCGATTATTGTTGGTGTTAGACCCCATTCGAGCATTACGTGAACGAGCGAATTAAAAACGATGAAAATTACGAAACAAACAACACCGTCATTTTCATTCTTTTTCTCTGAACTTTCGCAACGAAAATGTTCACCTGTGTGACTGAGAATAACAAAAAAGTGAACTAACCACTGGGCACCGCAGTTTTTGGCGGAGGAGGCAACGGGGCGCCAGTTTTCAGAGCATAGTCCACGCGTTTCGAAGAAGAGACGGCGTCGATGAAGTTGCCGTGCCGCTCGCGCCAGTTCGTTTGGGGACGTGGGAATATTCCACCGTTCTGATAAATGAAGAATGTACGGAGTATTTCAAAATAATAATAATAATAATAATAGATACCTTGGCTTTTTCGGTCTGTGCTTTCTTGATATCCGCGTAGGTGATGTCGCTTCCTTTCGCACGCTGTTTGCCAGAATCGAATGGTTTGCGATGAAGTGTCGCGAGTTTCTTACATGCTGATTCGTGTTTTTCCTATCATTTGACACATAATTTATGATTAGTAAAATATGCTCTTACCAAACTGGATTTGATAAATCTGCGGCCGCAAATCGAGCAGCCGAAGGTTGGCTCAGACGGGTCGGTGGCAGAGTCTGAAGAAAAAACAGGAATGAATAAAGATTAAAGACGGAGAAGATGCATTTCTCATTGAATGATACAAGCGGATACCTACCCATTGTATTCAGTCGGAAAATAAGAGGAGCGTGCGTGCGCGCGTGGTCACCGGCTCACACTAATAATATCGGAGGTAGCCCTTAAAAGCGGTCACAAACACGAGCGGGCTTCTCGTTGTTTCCAAGCAGAATGGTTGCTATGCGGGTTGCGGCGCGAGCATGCACACCGCAAGTGGGCAGCCAAATTGGAGAGAAAGGCTCGTCGACGAACTAGTGCTCACGGAGCACCTCGCTTCTCCGTTTTACTGAATTGTAGTTGTCAAGGGCGAAGGCCAAAAGGGCCAAAAAAGGAAGAATAGGAAGAGAACAAGGACCATAAAAAAATGGAAGTTATGGGAACAGAGCAAAACGTGATGGGACCAGGAAAGAACTTGTCGAACACACCTTGTTGGCACACATCCTCCAAGTACAGTAACTTCATTTAATCGAATGCACTTTTAGTAATGAGTTTTATCTGTTTTCTATATTCGATTAAGAGCGAACATAACGCATGTGGCTTATGTGAATTCTCATGTGTGTTATAATACGAATCACATTTATCTCCTTGATGTTGAGCCAAGGAAAGCGTTTTTTGTTGTTTGAGCAGTTAAAGTAAATGCGTTCACGATCAGTCAAATAAATTATCTTCCATTTCAGTTGCGAAACGAAACTTCTCCGTTCCTGCTCTTTAAAGCTACTCTTCCGTTTTCCGGTCAATTAATAACCCGGAGGTTTTTCTCTCTTTCAATAGTTGGTGAAATGTGAAATTTTCTGCACGACAAGTTTCCACTCACAACTTGAGTTTAGCATTCAGCGGCGCCAAATTTTTTTTTGACGTGACGTGAAATAGTTCATGAAACTTTCATTATCCAGAATGCTGGCAAAAACAACCAGTTCGCCCGTCGGTGGCTGGTTCTTTTTTTTTTCGAAAACATTTCTATCTCACACGTTTTTTGCTGGATTTCTGCTTTTTCTTCTTTTTCATCATCAGAAAGATGGAAGAGAAGAAGTGGTAGAAGTAGCACTTGGCCCGTCAAAAAATATGTTTTCATCTTTGTCGTGATGTGCTAGAACTCGTTGCTTATATCCTCATTTCCGGTGGTCTGTTCAGTTTTTTCTCCGACTTTCTTGGAATGAATTGTGAATGTGCATATTCTCGCATGTTCTAATCATATTCAGCTTATTATTTTCTAACGAAGTTTGTTCAGATTTTCAGACCTTCGCATTCCGTTTTCAACATTCAGTCTCTCTCCAGAAGTCGCATGCCGTTTTCTCAGTTTCTCCCACAATCTTGACCATTCGGGTGGGAGAGAGAGAGAGAGAGGAAAGAGTGAGTAACATGATTGCGAGTGAGAATGGAGAAGGAATAAAGAGGGATATCTTTTGTTGTTTTGTGTGTGGTAGACTGCTTTTTCACAAGTCCACACCAAAAAAATTTACTTCTGGAGCCGACGGAGCTGGTTAGTTAGCAGCTTTTTTGTCCATTTTTCACACCAAATGCTCAGATAGAAGATCGCCAAATGTAATATCGAGCTCAGATCCCGGGAAAAGTGTATTATGATGTCATTGCCCGTAAGAATTGTTTCACACTTTTTGCTCAGCCTTCGATTCTGAAAAGTTTACCAAAGATTCAAAAATTTCTCGTGCAAGCGATGTCTTGATGAAAACTTCATTTTCTTCATTATATTCTTCTTCTTCTTTCAATCTTCTTCTTCCTCACACATCTTTCTTTACCCCTGCTAATTACTTCTTTTCCCGCATCCCTACTTTTTCCTGTTTATCCGTATTCTGCCACGTCATCTGCGCTCTTTCCATCCGTGCATGCATACATTTGAAAACTGTGCGTGATAGGGATAATCTGTTCCTAAAATATGGCGAGAAAACAGATTTCAAGAAGCTTTAAGTGTTCTTGTCGCGCGCTCGCCATCGCTTATAGTCGATAGTGGCCGGCTCAGCGCCCTTATCTGCTTCACGCACAAAAAACTCATTACGACACGTTTTCCTTCCTTTTGCCACCCGTACTTTTGAATTCCGCTCCGCTCTTCCCATTTAATTGTGTTCAGCGCAATAAAACGCAATGAATATTTGATAGATCGAAACGTACGACGTCTTCATGGGAAGTGACGGAGCAGTTATTCCCATTTCGACATGATCTACACATGAATCTACTTGCAACCATCAGCATTTTGCTGTTGTTAGGTTTTTCAATTATTCAATTCCAAAAGGGTTTCTGCAATGTTAAAATTTCAGTCCAATATCTCTCTGCTCAGTTCTGTACCGCTGTTTGTATGACTAAATTTCAAAACGCAATATCCGATATAACAGGTGTGTTCGGAACACAAATATCCGCTCAATTTTGCCTTGCAGGGTCTTCGGAAGCTACAACAATGTTAGCTCCTTTTCACAAAATCATTTCAACAACCAGTGACAACCGAGCGGCTCACAAGCAGATCCGCACACTTTGCTCGTAATCAAGTCTGATCTGAAATAATCTGAAACATTTTAACGTTCAGAAAAGTAAAAAGCTGGGAGACGTGTGTTCGGGCATGTTCAAGGGACAGTGCGCGAGCAATCCTTCTCTCTTCCATGGATCAGTGGAAGAAGTTTTGCGCAGTGATGCGAAAGCCCACTAGAGGCAAGTTGTCCCCATTCACACCCTTATTTTCTCTTTCTTTTCCCTCCGCATGCCACTGCCAAAACATGCCCTTTTTTCAGCTTCGAATGAGTACTTGAACTGTGAAAGGGACCATCAACAACAAGTCAGCAAGCACTGCGATATTTACATGCCCACCACTTTCACTGTCACTGTTTTTTGCAAGTGAGTTTGAGGCTTCTTCCGATAAGACAAATTTCATGAGAGTTTTGATCACTAGATCACTCGAGAAGTACCGAGACTGTTCGGACCGGTATATGCACCAGTGTTCGGATGAGGCGTTTATAGTGAAGAAAACGATAGATGACGCCATTCAGCACAGTTTTGAAAAACTTATGAAGTTTGCAACCAATAGGATACGATTACCACAGAGGTTCGATTAAAATAAACAACTATTCCATCACTATTGTTGTTTATAATTCAGGTGTAACATGTATCATAGGAGTCATTACTACAAAAAACAGCGTGGTGAAATCATTCACCGCCCAGTAGTCCCCACAACCATCGAAATGACCACTGCTATTTCCACCTCCTCCGCCGTTTCCACTTCTTCAGGATCATCCGACGTTTTCGCGCGGCAAATTGAAATGTCGGAAATCGAAAAACCGGAAAATCCATGTGATTGCGAAGTGCATCATTGTCCTCAAAAGTGTCTCACCACACCCGTTTCCGGTCCGGCCACCAGCACAACATCCGTTGTCCTATTGGAATCGGAGAAATCCAAGCAATCGCAGCTACTCATTAACTCATATCCAGTTATCTTTCAACTGACACCAATCATCTTCCTTTTCTCACTCCTCGTTACTATTGAAATGCTTTATTAATAAATGAATGCACGACAAAATAGCGGCAATTAGTGGAATGTTATACAAAAAAGCGCAATACCCAAAGTCTTAAGATAAGACAAAAATAAACTCCCCGGAGTGAGACTAGATAGTTACCGCAAATATTTCTAACAGAAAAACCAGTCAAAAGTTTGGTCGAAATTTAGTGATCATAAACTGGCAATGGGTGACCCTCAGTGGTGAAAACCCATTCATCAAGTGGCAAAATGGTTTGGTCATCAGCAAGAAGGAGATACAGGTACTTGAGCGTTTCTCCGAGGAAGAACGATTCCATGGAATCTCTGTAGCTCACGTTGATCTTTTTTACATTCACAATTGACGAATATCCTCCGGTTGATATCCTCGCGTACTTCTCGATGGCCTGGAATGCTGACCATCCCCACTCTTGATACTTCTTGTCCCCTGGAAAATGCTTTGAGGTGAATGTGAGAGTGGAACCGATAACGTAGGCAACTATTGTCGGAATGAATAGTGAGTTGATGGTCTTTCTATGAATAACTACTAGATTATTTCTTTTCTTGCAACAAACTCGCTACGATCAACGACCAGTGTCAGGAATAACAAATGGCGTCTATTCATTCTAATTATCTCTTACCTGTTATTCTATACAAATAGAACCAGCCTTCGATGGCCTCTGGTCGCAGCAGACAATGCGCATCGAGTGGCTGAAAACGAATTATAAATATAGAATGATTTTCAGAAAGCGAACTTTGATGTACAAGTCTTCTTTGCTCGGAATCATATTGAAATGAGCGATTTCAGGGCCGAGTCCAGTCGGATTGTCGTACATGTTGTGGCACGTTTCTCCAATCTTTTCTGCAATGTCCATATGCTCCTTGGGGAATCCGTTCTGCGCGCCATGCGACAGGGTTCCAGCAATGAAGCATACGAGATGGTCCTGGAAAAAACAAGTGCATCGTACACAATAGCTGTATAGAATTACAAACCATTTTAGGGTAATAGGTCTCTCCGCTGAGAAGTTCTCCTATGAAGTACATCTTCTTCGGCTCTGAGTTTCGGTACAGATACTTTTCCATCGCTTTCATCGCCTTCCCGTAGTCTTCTTTCAGCCTGGAAACTTCAACTTGACAGCCAAATAATAAGAAATGCCTACCAATCGATAGTTTTTCCTGTTTGAATCCATTGTTTGTACAGGTACTCGTAATAGCTGTCTGCTCGAGCACCAAATGTGATTGTTGCCGATTCTAAGCGAGTTACATGAAATATTCTCAGAAACAAAGAGACGCTCACTTTTGAATTGCCCGCTCGTGGCACTGATGAACATTCCACATAAGCCTTCATGTTCCTCACATCCGATTTTGTGGACATGTCGCGAAACATTGAAGGCGAGGTCTTCGTAGACAGATTTGCCAGTTGCTCGCGAAAGTGCTCTGTATTCCAACTGCACAGTAGTCACTTCTGCAAGTGAGGAATCGGATCCCCATTGCGGATTTGTTCCAGTTCTGGAAGAAAATTAAAAAACAGTCAGCGTACGTCACACACATCGTATCGCACCTTTTCCGTAGATTGACATCACTGTAAGGTATCCCGGAAGGAGATTTGAACGCTCCGATAAGACGATCACCCAAATCCTGGGATTTCGTGAGGAACATTTCGTTTCCGGTCAGATGGTAAGCGCTCATCATTCCTCCCAACACTCGGATGGTGCACTCGAAGAAGTTAACCATCCGGTCCTTCTCGAAAGTGAGCTTGTCTCTGATCCATTCGGTGGCTTCGGCAGCTTCTGGAAGTTATTTCGTTCCTTTTGCTCTGGGGCCAACACACTCTCAAACCTTTCTCCAGTCCCATGATAATAGCCGTATCCAGTCCATCGACAATTGTAAGACCAGTGTCAAACCAGTCATTGAAAGACTGCAAATGTTAGATTGGCAGCTGAAAGTTTTCAAGTTTTACCTTGCTGATCGGTTTCAGAGTGTCATGCCCCCACGCGTAATCTTTGTAGCCTTTCCATGCGTGCTGAAATGCTTTCACGACTGCTTTCTGTCGATCGTTTGTCGGTCCTGAAGAGAAAATTAAATTTTTGCAAAGAAGTACCTAAACCTTGGAACTTGATTTTTGTGTCTGGTACTTTCTCATCGACTATATCGTGATTAGTCTCTTCCGGTGGGTTGTCTTTCTCGCTCTGCACTTCTGGTTTGTCATTTTGACCGCCGATAACTTGCTCATTGATGACAATTGGCTCCTGATTCTGCAAAATAAAAATTGGGACAGGTTGCGTATACATGACGTCATTACCTGTATCGTTTCCGTTCTTGTTGCTGTGCACAGTTTCACCAATACCAGCACCGATATGAGAACGGAAAAAATGATGCACAACTTCATGGCCACACTTCGCGTCGTGAACCACTGAAAAACGTTTTGTGCGTTTAGAAAACGCTTTTCTTTGTCATTTCCGTTTTGCCATGTTTTCGCCAGAAAAGCGAAATTATTTCCGAAAACCACTTACATGCCGAACTCGGGCTCTTATTCGACGAAAAGTGTGACCTCTGGGAGCGTCGGTGTTGTACATCGGAAGAGTGGGATCATTCCTTGCCAGCCGCATCTTTCAGTTAATTAACCCTGGAAAATACACTCGATAGGCTTAGTAGGAGTGAGAAATTAGTGAGAAGAAGACATACAAGTGAATCGAGTGAATTATGGTGCATTGCATTTGATACAAACTTAAGAAATCAATAAAATTCTCGAAAAATTTGGTTACTTTTTACTAATAAATTATATGGATTGACGGTTTTGCGTTGATTTTTTGGAAAATTTAAAAAACTCGATTAAAAATGATATTGCTTTTCATGAATGTATGGAAAACCGCCGTAAATGCGTTCGCAGAGAGCGTACCAAGGATCACTGCTGACGCATTTCTGGTCAACCGACACGTTGCATTGCGCAAAGGAGTGCGTTGTGTGTGTTGAGGAAACAAGGGCCCTTGAGACAACGGAATATGACCAAAAAACAACGAAACAAAACCTCTTTTGGAACGGATCAGTCAACTACTCGGATTCTCGTAATATTATACCGAAAGCACCCGTAATTGAGAAAATTTGGGGTAAATATTGACATAAATTCTAATTGAAATGCTTCGGACCAAAAGAATAACCAGTCGAGGCAGGGACAATGCGACGATGACTCTTTTTGCTCTTCAATCTCTGGGTAATGACGAATTGAATATTGTAAGTGCACCCAGCACACATTGTGATAAGATTCTGCGTTACAAATTTTGGCCAAAACGTGACTTTAAATGGAAAAACTTGAATGTAAATGTGAAAAAAAGTCGGAATCCTTGCATGTTTTTTTAGGAAATTTCGTTCAGTTCTCTTTTTTCTTTGTCAATTCTCGCAGGTTCATTAAGGAATGATGTCTGCATTTTCACGTTGCAAAACTTTGCCCACGCACTCGAGGACGGAAACCCTGTTTTTTTTTCACATATCAATTTAATTTCCATCGTGGTTCTTTGCATATGTCAAAGAACCGGTGAAAATGCAAATTGAAATTGAATCATTTAAGGACACTGTTTTCATCTGCTTCCAACGTGTTTGTCGACCACCAGATCCATAGTTTTATGACCAGAATTGCAATGCTCCGGAGCAGGAAGTTGGGCGTCGAGAACACCAAAAACCAAACGACTTTCGCAGTGATGTTTGTCGGATTCCCAAGTGACAAACATCCATTTTGTTCCAGACTAATTGTAGAGCGGCTTATCCGTGCAAGAAGGTTAAGGCCCACATTGTACTAAGCAAAATGCCAGCCGCATAAGGATTGCCAGTAAAAAGGAAGATTAACAGAAGCAGTTCATTTTGTTGTCTGACAGAGATGGTGATGGACAACGAAGAGAAAGAGAGAGAGAGAGAGAGAGTTGATGTACATTACTAGTGACTAGCATAATACACGAACGTTCTTATTTGGTTTTATATTTGATGATATTGATAGAAGGTGGAACATTTGAGATCGAAAAGGAAACGGGGAAAAGGAAAAACGGGTGTGTGCGAGGTTGCCATTCACTTTGGGATGAAGCGGACGTTTTCCATGTACTTGCGGTAGCGTTCGGCTTGCGAGGTGGTGAAGCAGCCGGTGATGGTGAACATGCAGTTGCGGCCGAACGACCTCTTCAACTTGTCCAATCTGCAATTTCAGACTGGTTTGAGAGGCATGGACGTCTGGAGTCTCACTCAGACGGGACAATGACAAAATTTCCGAAAGTGTCGGTGGGTTGGATCATCTTGTTCTCGTCGTTGAGGAACAAGGCGGCCTGAGAAACCGCGACGATCAGGATAAGCACAAGTCCGGACATGCTGAGTGCTATCTGAAATCTGTCTGGGTGAGAAGAGGAAAGGCGTGGGAGTGAGAGAAATGATTCAGAGCAAAAATTTAGAAATAAAAAAGAAGGCGTCTATTTCAGTTCAGACTGAGTATAATTTTGTATTCTCAAATTGCGAAAACGTAAACAAGAATGAATTCAAGCATTTGGAAGACACCTAATGTCACCAAAATAATGAACGAATTCTTGAAATCGACTAACAATTCTCGTGAATTGTGTGCGGCATGGTCCTTTCGGCTGGACAAACAACTGCTTCGGGTTTTTCAAAACAAAACATATTGAATTCTGCGATACAGAATACCCTTCTGATTCCATTTGCACAAGGGAGTCAGATGAAGAAGTGATGATTAAATGTAGTCGGCGTTTGGGTATGAGCTGGAGACCATGAGCCCATGACGCATGGAACCAGAAACCGAGACTAAGATTCTATTCTCAGTTGGAGAGCGGCATATCCAATTACTTAACCTTTCTAGAATTATTAGGGAATTTTTCGATTTGTCTAGTTTTGGCCGCCACCCTCAACAATACTAGAATATGCCAACTTCATAACGGTACAAAAAAGCTGAGTCCTTAAGAACTCTCAGCTTTCAACTATGATTCCAGCGTGCTGGCTCCGACAGGGGTGGGCGGGGTTTCAGGAGAAGAGAAAAACTTGATCTTTTGAATGGCTAATCTTCTCTCGCGTCGTGGAACACACACTCTTTTTCACAGACAGAATGGGATTTCCTGAAGACTTCCGAGACTAGAAACTTTTGAGGTTTGACCAGAAAGCCCTGTGAGACGTGCAGCATTGCTAGAACAGCCCTTTTTCAAATAGGAACATGAAGAAGTCACACTGCTGATCAGCTTCTTTGTCAATCGCCTTTTATATCTCGAAGGGCGGAGCTATGCCGGTCGTACAAAATGACGAGAACTCGGAGAAGGGTTGGACGTGAGAACGAGTGATTTCTATATTTGAAACAGCTTTCTTTCTCCCAATTTTCACCTGTTTCTGATTGAATTCCTGAAATGCAGCGCTGAGGGATATACTATGAAACCAAACCGCGTGATGTGGAGGGGAATGAAATGAAGAAAAGACGAAGGAAATGTCGCGGGAAACTCTGGATTTGTCACAGTTGGAAAGGAAGCTGAGACACGTATTCAAACTTGGAATAATTGGAATTACGGAAATAGACCGAGTTCCCTAGCGGTGCGGTCTGATCTATTACCCTTGGCAAACTCTGAAACGTTGTCTGAGAACACTCAACACACTCGGACGTATTCATCCGGAAACTGCAGACTTGATGGTCTATTCCATCCGTGGGCGGGAGAATATTTAGAAAAGGCCAATTGGAATTTTGAAGAGAAAGGATAGAATATCTCATATATAGACACAAAGAACATACGCAAGTTCGTGCTGATGCTTTATAATCAGATTTGTCCGTCACCGGATGATCTTCTGTAGTGACCAGCTGAGAGGTCGTCCAGAACTTTTGGTAAGGGGCTCTGTTGACCGCGGCCGTCCGTCACACAATTATTGACAAAGGCGGTGATGTGAAAAATGGGACTTTCGAACAAAAATATCTCAATAAATACTCACTGACGTGGGCTTCCGAATTGGTTTTCCGACTTCGTAATGTTTCCTCCTCTGCACAGGGATTTCGATGAATTTTAACTAATTTTGAATGGCTTCACATAGACAAGAAGCCACACAAAGTTCAATTTTGTTTCGTGTTTCTGCTTCTTAATTTAGTGTGCGTTAGACTTTGACACTTGGTGGAAGATCACAATAATTATCAGCAGTCACAGTGACTGATTGTCGGCGTCAATGTTCACTAAGAAAATCTGGAAAAAGGCGAGAAATGTAGTAAAGCAATGAATAGAATTCAAAGAAATTCACGTGAAACAGTGTATTGCACGGGAAACTGTAACTATTGAGGTTTTCACAAAAGTGTGGGCGTTCTTTATAGTGTCGTTTCGGCACAGAGACCCCATCACCACCGCACTTTGATAAGAGACTGCCGATTGGGGCAGTTCTTCTCCTCTCCTATTTTTCTTGCCTTTTCGATTTTCCATCTCTTGAGATATTGCATTTGTTTAGCATTAAACCTCGACGACCTTTTCTATATTTACATGACGTTTGTATTTATTGCAAATGTAAAGGGCCTCTATTATATATTCCCTTTTTCTCATTTCTCCGGAACACACGCAAAGTAATCCGTCGCGAAATGATGTTTACCGCCCGAGATTGGCTACCGAGAAGGAGCGTGGGAATAAAAAAGTTTCAGACGTTATGAATAATTGATTTCCGAAAATGCGCACGAACTTCGTTCGTACATTTATGCATGAAGGGCAGAAAAAGTCTGAGTTGGGAAAGTTGCAGGACTTTTCCACAACACGGAAGGGTGAAAGGATGTACTAATTGTTATGATATTAAGAGAAGTGTGTGAATCTTATCAACTTTCACTTCCTGTTTTCAACTATCACTTGCATGGAACATTTCTTTCCACACAAAAACATCAGAGAACCATGAAAAGAATTGCTCTTCCAACCGACAGAATCCGAATGACCTACACAGTCTAGCAATCTTATCACCGCACCGAATGACCTCCAAACGAAGAGTCATTAAAGACCGATACTGTTGAGAGATACGTTTATGGCTCGCTCAATTAGCGTTTTCTCTGCAATTGCATCACTCGCATCATTCACTCCAAACTACTCCCATTGTTCTTTGTCTTCAGATGGGTTCCATTTCTGCCATTCACCATATCGAGTTCATTGTGTCCAATGCTTTGCAGTCCGCCTATTGGTACTGTAGCTGTTTTGGATTTGAGAAGTTTGCGGAGAAAGTTACAAAAGAATCGACGAGTATAGCACTGAGAAATGGAACGGTCAGTCATTGGATAATATTGAACGATTGATTCCCAATGCATCTTTTTTCCAGGCCCGGGTCATCATTACATCCTACAACTGCCAGAACATGTACAACGAACAATTGATAAAGCACGGAGACTTCATCAAAGACGTCGCTTTCCGTGTTGACTTCTTGGACGGTGTTTTGCAGGTGAATATATCATTTCATTTCCATATCTATTTCCATTCCACATCTCCATTATTTTCGGTTGAGCTGAAGTCAGACAGGTGAAAAACGGTAACTCGGGGGTTGAGTCGAGGCATGTCATAATGATGTAGAGGTTCTGTGAGTAAAGCTGATAATCTGATTGTGTGTTGTGTCTGATAAGAAAATCGAATCATAAAAGAGCAATCAGAGCAGATGGGGAAAAAAACGTTCGCAAGACTCAATTGGATTATGAAATCATTGAATACTCAATCCATTCTTTGGTCACAAAGGTTATTCCAAATAGTTTTACACTTTTAACCAAAAAAAGAAAAGCACTGCTCTGACGTATCAGACTATAGTTATACTTTTATGTTTTCCATGTCAATTCCACAAACAGAACGTGCATTTCACAAGAGGAATGGAAAAGAGACATAATGTGGGATTTGAAAAGAAATAGAAACGTTTATTTCAGAATTTAATGGAGAATGACATCAAAGTCATTCAGCAAGGAGAAACAACGACAAAAGAGGGAATAGTGCGCACTGCAACTTTACTTGCTGACGTGAGAAAAACTCCAAATTTGAAAACAAATAAAACGTTTTTTGCAGGGAAGCGATGTCACGCATACACTGTACGAGCTCAATGTTTTCCATGGAAACTTCCTTCCTCATTTTACACCGACTCAAAATTTCGAGCTTTTTAACAAGATGTAGCTCTATTTCTAAAACATAAAAACTGCAAAAAGTATTTTTCAGCGAAAGAATGCCTGCAATTCTGATGGACCATGTTGTACAAAACTATCCAGTCGGAGAGATGGAAGCAGCCGCCGATTGGTATTACAAAACAATGAAATTGAAGAGATTCTGGTCAGTTGACGACAAAGTTGCCACGTCACAATACTCGGCGATGAGTGCATGGCTTCTGGTGAATGAGGACCACACCGTTCAGATGACACTGGCAGAGGGTGTCAAAGGAAGAAAGGGGAAAAGTCAAATTGAGGTGAGTTTTCAGAATGAGATTAACTTATTCTCAGCCAATTGTTGCAGGAATTCATCAGTTTCCACGGTGGGTCCGGAGTCCAACATTTTGCTTTGCTCGTTGACGACATCATCAGTGCTGTTCAATTGATGAAAAAGCGAAGTGTTGAGTTTCTCACGATTCCCGACGAGTACTACAACATACTGGAGGACAGACTGAAAAAGACAAATTTGAATGTCAAGGAAGACTTGAAGACGGTCAGCTTCCTTCATAAAATGAATTTTATTCTGTATTTTAGATCCGGAAACTGAACATTTTGATGGATTTTGACGAAAATGGATATCTTCTTCAAATTTTCAGTAAGCCGATGCAAGACAGGCCTACACTTTTTGTGGAAATCATTCAGAGGGCTAATTTTAAGGTATCTAATTCAACAATTCGTTTTCTATGAGCGTTTTTTCCACAGGGTTTCGGTGCCGGTAATTTCAAGGCCCTGTTTGATGCAGTCGAGAGGGAACAGGAGAAACGAGGAACACTCTTCTAACAATATCTTCCAGAAGATACAAATCAACAGTGTTCAAAGATTGCCAGACACAATAAAAATGAAGTAAAAACATTTCTGCATACAACGCTGAGATTCAATTCACATTCTCCATTTTCCTCCGTTCTTCTTTGCCATTGACACCGTGCTTAACAATAGCTCCATTCAGAGCATGGAGTTAGAAAAAGGATTGAAGGGCATTAGTTCATGAGAAGATTATGTTCCATTGTCCTCAAGATCTTTCCTCTTGTTTTTGAAAGAACTAAGTGAAAGTGATAACTGGATTAAACAAGTACCTCCTGGAAACTTTACAATAGATCGCTTCTTTCTTACCCCCTCATCCTTTATCCGATTCTGTACTTGCAAATGCCGGAGACCAAAGTCAGTTCGCGTGACTTTCCCACAGTTCTCACACCTACGGAGTGTGTAGTAACGTAGATTCTGACAAGTTCCGCGGACACCCATGTTTCCTGGTTAATAGGTGCCGTGAGAAAAACACAAACATTTTGTTTTTTTCTCGTTCAGCTCGTGCGAGAACTTTGTCATACAAGTGTATTGCTTTATAGATGGGTGCCACTTTTTCGAGAATTCGCAACTTGTTCTGCGTGTTACGGAAGAATTCTGTGAGCGATCTGCCCACGGGAGCCCAAGTACTCTCGACGTTCAAAATGCTGAAAATGGAAGAAGGTATGAAGGTGGTTCCAAAAACAATTTGGATCGGGAAATCAAAGTCTCTCGACATGGTCCGCGGCAAGTTACAATAACTTCTTCTGAAAACAATAGTACATACGTGTTTGTTCATCTCACGTTATTTTGTAAAAACATTCATTTTTAATTAGACTTTTTGTTGTTTTGAAGAGAAACGTCTGAAATCTTAATGTCTAGTGCATCATTTTATTCTTTGATCGCTTGAATATCTTCCCATTTGAACAAAGACGTATAAGGGTTTCCCCTGTCCAAAAATAGTTAATCCGAACTACGGGCCAGAGGGATATGATGAGAAATCCTATTTTCTTTTGGCAGTCTGTTTTCTCATCTTTTGGAATTTGAGCCAGGCTTTTGAAAGACGATAACAAACTATTGTCAAGAAAGATAATCCGTGCGCGGTTTTAGATGGAAGGTGTGACGAACAAGAGTTGGTGTATAAATATCATCTAACCAATCATTATCGCACCAACTTTCTTTCAGCTCTGCCATTTCGATTTAGTGCACACGAATTCTTTCAAACGTCTTCGTTTGAATGCTAACTAAACTTCACACAAAATTTTTTGTTCCTCGTTTCAAACTTTAACTAATTACTGAGAACAGTATGAAAAAATGAGGGAAACTTTGGTTTATATGTGGGTGTTAAGACGAACATGTGCTCTGTGCAGTGCACTTTAGTGAAAAAACATCTTACTGCTGTTGAATCTAAATAATTTTGTGAAACGTTAGAATGCATTCAGACTTCACATGATGTTATCCTCTGAGTACTCCAATCAAACATTTCTCGAGTTTGTTAGACTTCATTCAAGCATGAATGGAGTAGCAACTCTTAGAATTCGGTGTTGATATTCTCATTTGACTCATCGTTGTCATGAATGCTCGTAATGTAGATTAACCTGATCGCCTGACATACACATATTTATATATATATATGTCCGCTCCGCATTTCTTATTCCAGTCCTTTTAAGCTGTGCCAATGGAGTCGCCGAGCAATGCAGCCCCTCATCGTGGATTTAATGCCAAGGTTCGAGATGTTTTGATCGGAGACAACTACGAAAATCTGATAAATCTCGAATTCAGAGGAGGTATCGTCTGTTTTTGTTATTTTAAATCCTTTTGAAAATATCACCGCCAACACCCTTTCGCTAATGAGGTGGTTTCGAATAGCATTTTGTTTTTGCTCAAAGCTTCGAAAAAATGTTATCTTCCGTTTCATATCGAAAAGCCTTGCCAAAACACGTTGACATTTTTGAATCAGATGTTTTAAATTCAATTTCCTGCCCACTTTCCGGACTTGAATGAGTCTGGCGGGGGTGGATGGAGGGCTTAAGCCGCAGTGTTTTGATTATCACGGCTATCCCCTTCTCTTTACACCTCTCGTTAGCAAAGGTGTCAAGGGAGCTAATATGTGGTTTCGTCTGCTTCCCAATCAGTCCTTTTACCTGTTCTTTCTGCTTTTCAGTCTTATTTTTGTATCTCAGGCATGCCGCACAAGTCCTCAAGCGACTTCAACCTCCACAAACGAGTGACTACTTCCAACAGCCGTCAGAAAAAAGACAGCAACGGCGACTCCCCAAAGAGTCAAACTTCCGTCTGTTCGATTCCAGAGCATCGTTAGTTGTACTCACTTGTTCTGTTTCTCACGTTCTGTATTTCAGCAACCTTCGACACTATTGGCGAGCGTCCCAAAGTGAAGAAACATGTAAAGCTATCGGAAATCGGAAAGGCGCACTCGTGCGTCGAGCTGAAGACCTCCGACAAGCGACTTCTGCGCACCTACCACGAGGAGAACATAATCCGAATGCCGAGCATGGAGTCCGACGTGGGCACTTCCCAACGCTCGGAGATCGATGAGCTCTGCCTGAGCTTCGAAGGCGTCGGAAAGGTAAATCTGAGTGTGACGTGTCTGTAATCTTGCTACAATGGATTATCTTTTTCAGGCGATGCTATATTCACAGAGCGATAACAACAACGCTGACGACACCAAGAATAAGAAAAAGTGAATAGATTATGATGAATGGCGAGTTCCTGGTAGCATCGTGCAATTCAATACCCTTGTACGCAACGTGGACAATCAAAAATCAACATTATACGATCAGTCTAAGCAGTGATATTTTTACCATTCATCGATTGTTCCCCTCTGTCTCTCCCTATTTTATGAAGCTTTCACTGTTCACGATTTAGCAATAAACGCATGCACGACATCTGATTTTCTCAACCATCTTATCACAAATTGTCGCCGCGCAGAGAAAGAAGAAAAAGAAAGTTATGCGGTATTGTCGCATTTCCGCGCAGGAGGAAAAAACCGAAAGTGATCGGGAGAGATTGTTCATGATGAAATGACCTCGAAAAAAGAGAAGCCTAATCGAGCGCCTTATCGAGTTTTACCCACTGACCTATATCCGTTGCTTATAAGTCTGCCCGGATGGAATGCATCCTGAACTTTTCGCCACTCTTCCCGCAATGAGGGATCACTTCTACGACGCCGCGGTTGCGTCGATCGTCGTTTCGACATTCAGTCTGGTAGTGGCCGTGTTTGCTGTTCCACTGCTCCTCCACAAATCGGACAATGTCCTCCAGGAGATGTCTGCTTTCTCTGACGGAATTAAGGTAACAAACAAAAACACCTTTTCAAGGATAACCTAACAAATTCGTTTCTTCAGGCTAAATCGGATATGGTGTGGAACGAATTGATGGAGATGAGACAAGGTGACGCAATTCCCGGCATTCAATACTTCTCCAGAAAGCCAAGAAGTAACTGGGCGGGTGGAGCATTCTGCAAAGGATGCTACATGCTCTCGTGCCCTCAAGGATCTCCAGGACCTCCAGGAGCTCCAGGACCAGATGGACAGCCAGGAGACGCTGGAAGACAAGGACGTGCTGGAGATGACGGGTTCGACATTCAACCTGAATCCGAACCGGAACTTCCTTGCGTCATCTGCCCGGCTGGTCCTCCAGGACCACGTGGAGCTCAGGGAGAACGAGGAATGGCCGGAAATCCGGGAATGAACGGAATGCAAGGACCGAATGGAATGGAAGGTGTCGACGGAGGACCAGGACTTCCTGGACCGCCAGGACCAAAGGGAGAAAAGGGACCACTCGGACCATACGGACCACCGGGAGATACTGTAATTGCCGGAGTTGGAATCAAGGGACCAGTAGGACCTCCAGGACCACAAGGAATGAAAGGACCACCAGGACCAGGTGGAAAGGGATCCAATCAGCCAGGACAACCAGGACAAACTGGAGAAGCCGGAGGCATCGGAAAGACCGGAAAGATGGGAGGATACGGAATGGAGGGACCACCAGGACCACCTGGAGACCCAGGAATGCCAGCTTCCTACTGTCCGTCCGACTGCGGTGTCCAGCCAATTCTCACGGATATGTTCCCAACACCGTTCACTCCAATCAGTGGTTATTCGAACATGCAAAGACCTGCCGCTCCATCCCGTACAGTCGCTCAGCCAGAGTACTCAGAGGGGTCTGCTCCAGCTCATCTACCGAAGAAACACCACAAGCATGTTCCACATCAATTCGCTGATCCAGAACTGTAAGTTACATGGTACATGGTACGATGGAGTTCTCAATTTTCAATTCCAGCGGTATCAATGCTGATGCAGCTGCCGCTGCTGCCACTTCGGATTATGAAGCATCTTCTGCCGCTCCAGCTTACCAGGGACATCATACACCTCATCATCACAGACAACCTCATCACCAGTTTGACCAAGCACAGTAAGCACTGAGATTAATGCGGGTTGCGGTTATTGACCCTATTTCAGCGCTAACACTATTGCTGCTGACGCCATCAGATCCGTTAATGCACCAGAGTACGGAGACGGATCGACCCCATCCCATCAGCCACTGCATAAGAATCATGTGGTTCACCCAACCTCCCAACACTACGAGGATCCAGAGAGAGGCACTGATACGGCGGCGGCTGACGCTTACGCGAACCGAATGCACGACTTCCAAGACTTTGAGAGAAAGTGGCGCCGCAAACTGCTGCAGAGACGTCTCCGCATGATGAAGAGACAATAAGTCGAACTTGCGCCATATAAACATTCCCTTTCCCCCCGATTTTTCATTAAACAAAACAATAATTTTTATATGAAACGAAAGGGAAAGGGAAATGGTTTCCCAGCACAAATGATAAAGTGTTTGGGAAACACAGATAGAAGACGAGACATTTATTGGCAAAAGACAGAGAACATGGTCACATTTAGCATTCATTCGAAGGATTCACTTAAACGGTCTGCAAACTCGATTTATCAAAGAACCCTAAAAGATCTCTGAAACTAACCTGTAGACGAAGACGATGGCGGAGAGGTTGTCCTGTGGAGCGCTTCTCTTCTTTCCCTTCACTTGTCCGTCGTTGTCGTTGGTTCCGGAGAAGGTGGTGTTCTCCGGTGTGGATCCTGGCGGCTTGCAGTAGCGTTTCGCAGCGGGCTCCCCGTCACTTTCAGCTGAATCATGTCATTCGGAACTTCTCGAAAAAAAACTAGTGTTAACCGGGCTTAGTAAAGTCGAACATTATTGGATCCTTCATGGTCACAGTTTGTCACAGAATGAGCGAACTGCAATGATACTGAAATTGAAGTAAGAAAGAGTGGGCTATGAATGAAGAGAAGAGGGGTTCGCAGCGGAAACGGGAAATGTGAGAAACCGAAAAACAAAGATTCTGATGAGCCTTTTTCTTCGTCTTCTTTTTCTTCTTTTTCTTCTTCTTTTCTCGGTCACTTGACCATTCCACTGTTCTGAAGAGCGCTTGATAGTACAGGAATGCAAAAGGGAAGACGGATGGATGTCAAAAGACAAGAACGAGAAGAGGAGACGGCAGAACGGTTGGTTTGGGAGAGACGGAAATTGCAGATCAATTTTTTTTTCTTCTCTCTTTTCTCCTTCTCGAAACCATCGCGACGCGACGACCGTACAAATTTCGGAAAGGGAAGAGGAGACGAATCGCGGGTTTTGGGGGCGGTCAGAGCCATTGGGATCGGCTGACAATCTGTGGGAAACCGACAATAAAAGGTTTTATATCATTTATTACAAAGTTTGTTGACATTTTAGTTAAAGCAGAGATGGAAGGGCGGGAGGAAACTGGAATGAGCTTCTGGTTACAATTTGGGCAACAAAAGTGGGCGATCAGCCGGATCACTAAAACTCTCAAACACGAGGAATCGACTAGAAAATGGAATGTATAATTACTTTCAGTGAAGAACTACGGTGGCAATGGATGAGAGAGAAACAGTAAAAAGTATAGGAAAAGGAAAAGGCCGGACGAAATAATCATACACTTATTGATGAATGGAAAATTTAGTTTACGTTTGTTTGATCATGGAAAGGGAAGCGGAATCCTATTGCAAAGTGAGTCCCCGAATATACTATAACAGAAGAGTGGGGGACAAAAGGTAAATGTAAACATTCGAGTAGGACGTCACAGAAGAAAAAATAAACAATCACTGAGGATCATTTCACATCGGTGAGTATTCAGTCGCTGGCCGTGACATGGAAAACTTCAAGCTCATAAATATCGAAAGCACCGGAAGGACAGAGCGGGGGACTGTTGAAGGTGTTGCTGTAGCCAGTCATGCCGTGGGTCAGCTCCTCGTCGATACGGAGCGCATCGTTGCCGCCGGAACCGATCTGAAAAATTGAATTAGAACTTCTGAGAAAACCACGTTTTCAATACCACAATTGATTTGTCAGTAGCCGCCATGAAGTACTGGGGACACGTTTCTGGAGTGGCTTCGGGAGCACTTCCGACCCATTGGTAGACCTCCGGAAGGCCAAGATCCTTGTTCATTTTGAACACGTAAGATTCACCGGTTCCCCAATATCTAAAAATTATCTACTTTTCGTATACTTCAAGATTCAAGATTACTTGGAGCGTGTTCTCTCCTTTCTGTCGTGTCTCTCAGCCCACGTGGAACTGCAATAAGCTCCGAAGATGGCACCACACGTGCTTTTGATGATAATGATACTTTGATCGAGCTTATCGATTCTGTAACCAAGAATGTGTTTTCTGGTTCTTCCCACGGACGCCTACTTGTTCCAGAAATTGTAGAAACTGGTGCCATCCTGGCTCAACTTGTACGCCAGCGTCGGTGTAATGAGCTGCAATCTCTCCGGCATGTATGACATCAGTTCGACCGCCGAATCTGTAGTCAGTTCGAGTTTTTTATCAATCCCGTATCCTGCAGCGATTACCGTTATCAACGAGACACGAGTGGAACGCTTCACAGAAAATGGTACGACGAACCTTCTTGATCGTTCGAGGACGACAAGTGACTTCGTCTCGCAACTGAAAACAAGATGATTTGAATGCAACATATTTTTGTGTATAATTACGTACCTCATCTTCGTATTGCGTCTGAAGTTTGGCAATAGTTGCCGATTGCAGATTGCGAATTTTTACCGCAGTTGCAATGAATGTACTGGTGCTCACCTAAAATGTTGAATGATTTTCAAGGAATGTCCGGAAAACAAGATGGAAAAAATTTTCAGTGGCACTCTTTTTGCAACTCGCACAGACATGCTTGACTCGTGCTTTTTCCCGTTGCATGCATTACTATAGTATGTTTTCTCTCTCAAGTTCCTCCAAACCGTACCGTAATATTGGTGGCCACATCTTGGAACTCCTTCTTGATCGCCTCGATCTTCTCTTGCAGCGATTTACCTCTGAGGTCCTCCATCTCTCTCTGGAAATGTTGACATTTGTGACTCGTCGTCTCAACCAGACTTTAACCACATACCTTATGCACTTTGGACCAGATGTAAATGATAGAAATGGCCGAACGGATGAGGAACTTATTTCCTTCCGAAAAATAGCAGTCGACAATGCGGCAAATGTATTGAAATGGAAGATATTGGAACAGCCATAGCAACCAGTCTTCGATCTGGAAAAGGTCTCATTAAAAGTCTCATTTTCTTCGGTTTGTCATAGCGACTGTCTCATTAAATGCCTTCACTTACGCATTTCACAAGCAAACTGTCGTCAGTGGAGCCGAGTCTTCTCTTCAAAAGAGCGTAAGCTGCCGATTTGTGCTTTTTGACCAGCGCCAGGATTGTACGACTCGATGCGGCCCATTGAACAGGGGTTGTCATCATGAAGCCCTACAAGAATGACATCAGAAGAAACTGAATGAGGACGAAACAAACCTTGGTGTTGAGCAAGTAGTTGATGCATGAGAAACAGTCGGCATCGTCGTCGTTGAAATGAAGGAGCAACGAGCACAATGGGTAGATGGTCTGAGACAGTTTCGCATGTTAAGAATTTGTTTGAAAAGCACTCACCGGTGCGTAGACGATCTCCGGACGGAGTCTCTCAATGATGAGGAGCAGACGGATCAACTTGACAGTTCCGACTTCCTTTAAATCAAAGTTGCTGAGCACACCACCTTCTTCACCCAAAACTTGCGGAGATTGCTTCTTTCCTGAAAACTAAACACGTGGGAACTTTTTCATGTGATTTTTCTCATTTTCAATTATTTTCTGTTCTTGTTTTTTCCACCGTTCTTCTGAGAAAGAAAAAGCTAGCCAAGATTTTGGCGTTCTCCCTCTTTCTCTCCTAAAATTTTTTGATTGTCGAGTAAACAACATGCGGCTTGACACCGCATCATCATGCGGAATAAATACACACAGTGCGTAGAGTATATTTGCAACCCATGCGCACATTTCTACTTTTAGTTCCTCTTCTCTCGAGCCTCTCCCACAAGACAAAGAAAAACATTGCAACTGGCACTGAATCAGCTGGCTGAGTTGCTGGTTTTCTCGTCGAGTTCGAGTTTGCCCAACAATATGCACCTTGATTGATTCGATCGTACTCGATCGCTTCGTCGACGTACAGACGTTTGCTGCTGTTCCAGTCCTTCGTGTTGCACAGTTCTTTCCATAGACTCGCACGAATTTCGTGACACACCGGCCAGTCGGTTTGTCGGATGATTTTCTTGACCTGCAAAACAAAAGGATTAGCATTTTCAAACGGGAATTTTTTGTTTTTCAGTTTTTCGAACTCACCGATAGACTCTCATACTCAGCCTTTGTCTGACAACAGTCATCAATGTCAGATTCTAGGCCCGAGTCTTCAGGAAGAACAGTAAAATCCGCCAATAATTGCAAGATTCTCAGTTTTTTTGTTTCCAGCCTTTCGCTGGGCGTTTCGACGTAAGGTACTTCGTAGTACTCCTCTTCGGAGTACGGATTTGTGATTGGGTCGAATCTCATTTCGGACAGCGCAGAAAGAAAATAAACTAAAAATCAAGAGTATCCTGACTGCTTTGGAGACTCGGGAGCGGCACAAGCAGCGGGAACGAGATGGGCTCCGCCTTTGCTCACAAAAAATCGTTCTTGAGTCAAGCGACAAACACAGTTTGTGGCAGTGCGGTCAAGTTCGAAGTTCAAGAATAGAATTTGATTAACATAGCAGTACAAGAGAGAGCCAAAACTCGCAGTCTGTGCAAACTCTGCTGCGGAAAAAGTGCAAAAACTAGTTGTAAAAGTAGAAACGAGGAAGAAAACATAGATTTTGGATTGGAATGCTTTTAAGCGGGCCGCGAGTGATTCTATGTACACCCACACCGAGAATGTTTTGTTATGACGTGTAAAACGTTATTAAAAGATGCTGATCAAAAGGAATTTTGTCTGGCAGTACGATTTGAAACAAAATATTAACCTTGTCATAGCGATTCAGCCGTTTGTTGTCAATGACTTCCTGTAGACGGTCCGGTACAGAAGACTTCCCGATGCGAACGTCTCGGGTGTTTTCCGTGAAGAGCGGTCCTTCCGGCTGAAATATTCTACTTTTTCTGTCGTCTTTTTCTTTTCGTTTCCACTGCACGCCCATTTAAAGAACAATAAACCCAATCAGACAAAGCACCAAAACAACACTCTGAATAGCTCACCGATGAACTCTTTTCCGGCATTACTAAAATTTTATTTTGCTTTGCTTTTCACAAACTTACCGATATTCCATAAACGGTGTTCATTCAGAGAAAAAACTCACTTAAAAGAAAAAGCCGGAAACCTAGAACTAGCTGTGCTCAGCGAGAAGTTGCAATGCTATTCAATGCTCCGAAACGTGTAGCCTTTGTTCCATTTATTGACAATTTGAGGCGAGTATGCAGCGGAAAAGGACGGGTGCCCGGCCGGCGGCTATTTGTGCTTTTGAATGGTGGGCGACGAGGGTGCTGGCGGGTGAAGGCACTAGAGCGAGCGGAGGGGAGCTCGCAGCTGTCAATAGTCCGTAGTGCTCACGCCACTACGAAGACGCAACCGTGCTCTCATGAGTTCCACTCTCTACGTCTGCGTCTCCAGTGCTCAAATGAGTCCCTCCGAGATTCGCGGAACGCGGAGCCGTATATCATTGGCCCTTTCGAAGCGAAGTGTAATGAAAAGAGCGGCCTTTCTGGCAGCGTAAACGATTCATTTTCTTGTCATTCACTTTCGAAATGTTCCGATCGCTACGGATGATATTCTGTCCAATGATTTCAATAAAAAACGCGAAAAGGGGGTCAGTCTTCCATCAAGTGAAGAATTTTCCGTTATGATGATGACACGAAACAGCAATGATTGATTTGATTTTACCAGTTGTTTTTAAAAAGAAACACAAATAATTTTTGCAGGATACTTTGGGCTTGATGTCTGCAAAAACGAGTGACCTTTCAACACAATTGAAACGCACTTTGGAACAGTTCAAAATGAATTTTTCTCCTGTAAAGCTATTCAAAACTTTGTACTTTCAACCTAGCTGCAACTGTCTTGGTACGGAGCGTACCCAGTCCGTCTGATATGAGTCTACACTGAATTAGGATAAAAAATTTCACTGGAAGTACTCAGCCTTTCAAAACTAGATTCCGAAACTTTTCTAATGAAACATTTTGCAGTGAGCTAAAACATACAATTTCTTCTTTGGCAGCCAGCTCATCTCGAGCCAATCTCGCTTCGGATCGTCTTGGCAAACGCAGAGAACGACGAATTGCCATTGAAATGCGTCTGAACTTTGATATTAACTTTCAGACCAATTATTGGAACTGACGCGATCGAGCTAGTCGTTCGGCGCAATCCCGGGGCAGCGGCGCCATCCAGATTATGGTTGACCAGGGATTTCGGATAAACCGGAGCCGCTCTCTGCAACGATCTTAGATTTGCAACTTCTCTGATGGCCTTAATACGTACTCTGAAAAAGTTGCCCTCTTCATTTTCAGTATCCGAATCGTTGGTCCTTCCGACGGCTTGCCCGACTCGGGCAGGAAGCACCTCCTCCTCATCCCCGCTGGTGTCGCTCATGTCGGCACCAGCTTGGAACATAGCCGACAGGTTCACGAGGGCCTGTTCTGAAAACGAAATCGTCTGAAACTCTGCTCAATTTGGCAATTTTGACCACAAGCAAACCGATGTAAATGAAAAATCTAGTTCCTACCACAGAGACGACAGATCAAACAGTCATTTTCAGCGGAGAAAAGTCAGAGTTACCTGTTTTGACCACACAAACTTCCACAATCTGTTGATGTGGCAAGTTGATGAATTAGATAGTGGAAAGATAGAGAAGAAAAAGAAGAAGAAGAAGAATTCAGCGCAGGTGAGGGTAGCAGGAATGGCCAAACCGCAAAAGACCAAAATGCAAGACTTCTTCTCAATGAGACGTGGTGGGGAAGGGGGTCTATTGATGCTGTGAAAGTTCTGACTTTGTTCATCTCGCGCTGAGGCCTGATTTTGTGCCAAGAAACTGTACAATAGGCAATTTTTGATGAGCGTGTCTGAAGACGCGTTATCAATGGGTGTCCAGTACTTTTATGGCGGAGACTACAAATTATGAGGTGGTGATAACGGCTTAGTTACATTCGGAAGTTTTTAGGCTTCTGCTATTGGCACAACAGTTGGAAATTCGACACGATCAACCCCGAAAGGGTTTTCTCGGCAAGAGCGGTTATTCTAAACAGGTTTTTCCGCTTGATTCATTGATTAATCTCTGTAGTAATATGAACTTTTCCTAACTGTTTTTATTGTTGATTTTCACAATTCTGCGAAAAGTGTGGAATGGATTACCCTAGACGAATCGAATAGATTTATAAAGTTCGTTTCGGCGTACTACATAGATACACTCGAGAATTGGGTCACTGAATGTGAAAGACGCACCTTTCGAAATAACTCTCACATTTCCAGCGTTTCTTTTGAGTCTAGCACCCAATGGCATCGGAATATTCTTTCGAATTTGAAAATCCAGTTTTCAGCGGTTGTCCGTTTTCGCATCAAACACGAACAAAGATAATATTTTCCTTGTCCTCTCCTCTATTGTTGAGAAACGGTGCGATTCGGAGACATAGGCGCACAAACAGGCCGGTAATTATACAAAAGTCCTTGAAGCGGTCTGCTACCGTCCGGGGAGGTCATTTCAAAATGTTTGAATTCAATCGGCCAACGATTGGAAACGCAAGATAAATTATTTTTTCCCTACGGCGAGAGTCTGTCAATTTCAAATATGAATGAAATTCTTATCACGCTGGAATGCGCCGTTTCAGAAAGCAGCTCGGTGATCATTGATGCACTCAATCAAAGAAACCAATTAGAGAGTTATAACGGAGAGAACTAAGAACTTCGTACTCAGAACTATGACACCAGCGAATGATAGTGAACGTGACTCAACTGAAAGTAACAAAATAGAAACTTGTTTCCTCTTTTTGGGTACATGACCAGTATAATAAAGTATAGTACTACTCTCATTCAAAACTTGGAAGTCTTTTCTCGAGTGTTAAGTAACGTGGAAATTTCTATTTGACCATGCGGTTCGAGAACAAACAATCAGTGCTAAAGAGAAAACGAGAAGCAGCAACAGGGGAATGAAAAAAGAGTTTTCTACAAAGAACGCTCTCAAATAAGACGCTTTTATCAGCACGTGCGTGCTGTAATTCTAGCGCACCATTCATTCCACTGACTTTACAATACTTCCCACAAATCGTTCCTTCATTTTGCTTCCGAAAATAAACTCAATTTCGGTGTTTTCTTTTGAACATTGCTCGATTGAACTAAACTATAATAATCCGTCGAGAGTGAATCAAAATGCAAAGTTGGTCACGCGAGCCGCTCAAAAGTTAAAAGTTGTGTTTCTTTGAAACTGATATGTAATACGGTGTTTGAAATTAATCGATTGAGAGAAAAAATGAGAGAGAGAGAGAGAAGAAATCATCAAGTAGTTCTAAACAGTGAATCGAAAAGACAGTAGCGCAGTTCGACAGGTTAACACTGACGAACCAAGTGCATTGCAAAAAGTTGAAGTTTCCGACGGTTTCATGCCGCCTGTCGACAATATTGTGAACAATTCTTTTCAGAAATTCTAGTATTCAATTTGGACCTTTTTCAGAAAGAGTTTTCTTCGAATTATTCCAAATACTCATTGTTACCCCTAGTTGGAGAAGTCGTTTTTTGTTGATAAATGGAAAACATATGTCTGTAACTCCAATTCAATCACGTCTAATCGAGGTGATGTGATATTCGAAATGACAGAAGACGTCCGTCCATTCGTTTCACGTGCTTTTGCAATGAAACTTCCCAAGTCGTCCGTCCCTTCATTTCTTTTTTGAATTGATGGCTACCGTACAACAAAGAACGATTCGCTGCTAACTGTTGACCTCTGGGTACAGTACTCGGGTATCAGTCTCGCGCCGGCCCTAGACCCCTCTATTTATCAGTTCATAACTGCCTTCGTCTCCTTCTCATTCTCTTCTTTTTTTGATGACGTGGTTATCGTCCAAATGGAACCGTCCACAACTGTTGTTAAACTGAAGATCAGTCATTCGCGCGTACCACTTGACAGAGAGAAGAATGGGAAGGTGGGAGTGATAACGAGATGAGAAAAGTTGAAACAGGAAAGAAAAGAGAAGGAAATTTGTTCTCTGACGAGATGCTGATTGTCTTACGGTAGCAAAAAACTGTTGATAACGAAGTCACATCATATCGGGACATGATGTCTGTACCGACGGAAGAAAGAGGGTTAGTGATACTCCTTATGGTATCACCCTACAGTCGGAAAATGCTGATCTAATTAGATATCAATCAATTCTGAAAACAAAGAAACCCACTTTCAGCCACTCTGATGACCATCAATCGACCCTTTCCTCTTTCGCTTTGATCTTCAAACGCGAGGAGTCGATCAGTCAATGACCTGCTTAGCAACTCACCGTTATAACCAATATCCGGTCGTATTATTTTTGACAGCATCATAACGGCGTTGTTAACTCTCAGAAGTTGGGACCACCTGAAATATCCGAAGGTTCTCACGATTCTCAACGCACTGCACGATAAAAGAAACAAAAGTTCACTTCGAAAGTGTCGCACCTTCTCTCTTTCATTTCCGATTGATAACGAATATAATGATAGAATGCCAGTATCCCCAATACAAAAGAAATCACAGTTGCGCAGCCGTCAAGAACAAAAACGGGAGATGATGGATTGGGTTTTTAATAGTGTTCGAGGTATTTTGGTAACTGCAGCCCGGTCAGTTCGTATGACGTCCGAAGGACAGAAAGAAACCGTCCCCCGAGTGCTTTCAGGTTTTTTCTCTCGAGAAATCCACCCATCGTATCAAAAAATTACTACGCTACTGCGGGGGAAGAAGAAATTTAAACTAATACCTAGACTTATTACAGTTTTCACTTCGCAATTCGAAGCGACTATTGAAAACATGGTTGTTTTGAAATATTGGAAGACGTTGGCAGATGACAAAAATACATAAAGTGCTGCCGACTAGATTTGAAAAAGTTATGGCGTCCATATGTATCTTCATGCATAATATTCGAAACAGGAAAAACGAGGCAACGCGAGTAATCAACAACATTGGTCTCTCACGTTCGATCTCATTTCAACTTCACCTGAGTGTCCAGTCAACTGATTACTTTAGTGATCTATTGTTTGAGACGGATCACTATTATTTGTAAACACCTAAGCCTAATATTCAAACAAACATGCTGTTCGAGATTTCTATGTTGCGCATCTAGATGATTATTAAATGATTGATAATTGCATTAACACGAAGTGAAGACTATTTTGGGAACAGCTGCCTACACCATCACTGAATCTTGCATGCTATCAAGCGAAAATGTCACGAAAGTCTATTTCCGATTGGCGACCGGTATATGTGTCGATGATCTCTAATGAGAAAGTTGAAAGACCACGCCATGCAAAAAGAAGAAGAAGTGATGCCTAGTGTTGTGTTTTGTAATCATACGATGTTTCGTTCGAAAATAGAAGGATATCAGGCATCACAAGACTGGAATCGGGAAAAATGTCAGGGTGACGGGGTTGAGAACAGTACCGACATGAGTCGGATTTACATGAATAATCACGATGGGCGATGTTACAGTCATAGGCGATGTTACAGTCGCTGAAAAACACGTGAGAAATGTGTTTTCGAGCGGACGGGGTGGAGCTGCTGAAAACGGAGTTAAGCTGGCGAATCCGCTTCTCCGTCGGTACTTATTTTCCGTTGGGTCCGGCAAAAAAACGGGAATTTTCGCGCCAGTTCGATCACAAGTCTCTCATTTCCGAGGGGTGTTCTCTGGAAACCGAATAACTGATCGTGGGCGTCTCTTTTCACTTTTTGGTGGGGTATTTATTGTAACCCCCCGACTGAAGATGATCGCGTATCTATACGGTATGTCCGGAAAAAAAAATTGATGGATTATCACTCAGAAAGTGAAAATGATGTCGGGTGACAGTATGATGCCGAGGTAGTCGTTTGGTCACAACAATCTGCAATGAACCACATCCATCTTGGAGAACTCGAGTATGATTGTCTTTCGTTCTTTGTTCCCGGTTTCAAACATCAAAAATGAGAGCTGATTGTGTAATAAACAACATGAACTGAATCATGTCTGGAATATCAGAGAATATGTCGGGAAGGATCTGAACACCTGATCCTCAGATCACGACTGATCGGATTTTTTTTCGAAAAGGATCACTTGCCAATTACATTTCTCCAGACTTGTAGAAACTGCGTTTTCGTTTAATCAAAACAATCTTTTAAAAAACAAACCGGTATTTTTCATTATTTTGCAGCTGACCGGGCCCAAAAAAATCTGCTCATCCATGAAAAGTCTGGATTTTTGTTCCCTCTTCACAAGACGAACGTCCGAAATAGATCTTCTAAGCATCCGAAATAGATCTTCTCCCTTGTCGGCGTGGGTACCCAATTTCGAATTCCGTTTCACGAGCCTGATTAGCCGTCTGAACGTCTCCTCGGCCCGCGAAGAATTGTGTGTTAGGGAGAAACATGTCAAATCTAATTTTGGTGTCGCTCATTGAATGACATATGCTGAAGATGAGGACTGCCGGACGAATGCCGTCGTGCGCGTGCTCTTCTTCTCTTCACAAATTGCTTATTTTGGACAATGAAAAACGAAAACGCTATGACTATGGCCAAGAAAAGCAATAAATAAATTCGCCATTTTGGACTCGGACCTTATACGCATTTTTTTCAATTTCCTCCAAAATTGCATAACGAAACGCGAAGCCGGAAACGTTGCTCATTCCTTGAATTCTATCCAATTGAAGTGGAATGTTGCCTCGTTTGATGATCCGTTATGCATGTGCCCGTTTTCTTGAAGAATTCGAAGCTCACATATTTTGGAGCAGGCCCTTGTTATGCATTCAGTTTTTCAACTCAACCCCCACACAACGCATCAGAAGTTGTAGTGTGGAGGAGCCGAGAAGTAACTAGTCTTCCTTTTGAAGCGAGAAAAAGAGAAAAGGAAAAGAGTTTGTTCAGAAGATTTATTTTCTTTTTCTCTTTTCCAACACATTGTCATTTGTCTTACTTTTTCTCCATTTGTCGAGTTTTACTTTTTGAAAGCGCTTTCATTAAATTTTCACGATACATTTGTCGGTCAATTTTCAATTTACTCACACATGACAAATCTGGAAGGTTATCGGAATGAATTTGCCGGCAAACAGGGCCTAACCGAATTATGTGTAATTATGGAGGCGTTTGCGAAAAAAGCTTCCACGGCAGTTTGCGATCAATCCGTTTGTCCCATTTTTTCCTATTCCGTCACTCTTTGTGATTTGTTCACAGTTACCTCCAACCGATCACTCGCCTTTCGGATGTGTTATTGTGTGGAGAGAAAACAAGAGCGAGATGCGGCGTTTTATAATTGTCCTAGTTATCCTCAAGCCCCGAAACAGTACGAAGAAGTTGGAGACTGCGCACACTACTTTATTCTCCGTTCGTTTCAAGTGTTTCTTTCCCGTTACGTTTCCACTTTTTCTTCACTGAAAATCGAACCGTTTGACATTTAGTTCTGGAAGGAAATCGAATAGAGTATGTCGCTTCGAATATGAATCCAAGTGACGAAATTGCGTTAGTGCACGCTCTGATGAATTGAGGAATATCTATCTGATTCGATCCTCCGCGGCATTGTCACCCGGCGGTCTCGGGCCACTTATCGCCTCACAACCCACGGCCAACTGAGATTCATTAGACCCATTATTCAAATTCCATCCGAATCAATCGGAAAACTTTCTCGACCGACCCGACACACATTGAAATGGGACAAAGAAATCCGTCATTATCCTCCGGAGTCTCATTCAATTATACGCCCGCCTCACTCGGCCTTTTCCCGTCCGTGAAGCCGCTTTTTCTGCTCCATTCTGAGTGAGCTTCGTGCGGTTTCGAAAACAAACCGTCGCCATAGTCTCCATAGGGACGTTTCCGTTCGTCGGAAAGCAAAATTTTGTTTATTGGGCTTCAGAAAAAAACAAAACCTTTTCAGACTGACGATTGTTGTCAGTCTTTTCTTCTACAAGTACACTTCCTCTGCTTCTATCTCTTTTTCTCTCTTCTTTTCAATTTGGCAACTCTTTCGTCTAAACTTCAAAGCGGACGCCGACCGGAAAATTGGAAACTTTTTAATTTTGTCTCTCACTCTTGCTTCATGTTTTCCTTTCGGAAGCACACAAGTATCTATTGTGTCTCCGAAAGTTCCAATCCATCTTCTTGTTCCTCCTCCTCCTCCTTCTCCCATCTAGTACAACCATGTCTGCGCGCGTCGTTTTTCTTCCGTCTGCTTTTGGCGGCCTGAACCCTATCCCTCCATTTCTGGTCCGCTGCCTCTTTTCAATGCCAAATCCGTCGCAGATTATCAGCTCAACCAGCGAAAAACTAATTTCCTACGCCTGCCCGGTGTGTGCGTGTGAGTGTGAAACACGTTATATATTCCTTCTCATTTCTCATTCAGTTCTATTCAATCAAAAGTTGGGCGATTGGTACTACTTCTTTTTTTTCTTTTTCCCAAGCTTTTATAGAAACCATCAATCTTTTTCTGGAAAAGTGGTGCGGGACCAGACCACTTTGCTCGCCGACTCGTTATTCTACTCTCTTCTTCTTCCTCTATCATTCTATTCCTTCTCGGAGGGCTTCCGAGGGCAGTGATTTCGATTCGGAGGCAATTTTGGTTATAGCTACACTTGACATTCATTTCTTCTTCGCTACTCATCCGTTTATCCTTCGGCCGCAACGACCATCCTCCAAATGCAAATGACACATTTACAGCAGCCGAGAAATTGGAGTTGATTTAGCTAATATGTCCTCTCTTCTCTTCTCTCCACTCGCTTTTCCACACGATCCCATTAGGGCTATACAAACCATTAGATCTCCAGAAATCATCGATCATCCCGTGTTTTCGTCTGGAGAAGCTGTCTTGAGAGTGTTCATTACCTCGATTCACTCGTGCTCCTTGCCATTTCATCTGAATTTCCGCTCCACTAGTTTCCTAGAAAAGCTTCTCCACATCCGTATCAAATCCTCAGATCTCGTACTCATCCATTTAGCTTTTTTTGAGATAGGAACATAAATACTCCTACAAACGTTTTACTCTTTTTTCTTCTTATTCTTCTTCTTCTTCTTCCGTGGGTGGCTGCGCTTAGTTCTTTTTTCTCGTTTGTTCTTCTTGACACTCGACATCGGGCCGATGCAATTTCTGTGCTTGCCTCTCGGAGGAGCACAAATGTAAGGCGTTTTTCGGCTCTTTGAGAGAAAAAACAAGCGAAAAATAGGTGGTGAATTGACTTTCTCGGCGGAGGAAAAGAGGGAGACGTCCACTGGACACAGCCACTACTTGTTTACTCAGATTTTCAGAACGTCGCTGCCTTTTTCATGCACCAAAAATGCGTTTTTTTTCTGAAAAGTAATACATAAAATCGAAACACTATTGGAATAGGTAACTTGAGTAAACTTTTTTAATTGCCTATTGTTCTCGAGAAGAACTATTTTTTCTCAAGAAAACTCGCCATTGACGTAATCCATTCTGAGAATTAAAGAATATTATTCTCCAGCACCATTTCGGCTGAAATTCCC